TCCCGCTCCGTCAGGTGTATCGCAGGCTACCCCCCCTCCCTCGGTCCCCCCCCAGGTCTCTCCTCCTTCCCCACAGTCGTCCTCACAGCCTCCGCAGCAGCCGTCGGCGCTTCCTCTCCCGGCCACTGCGGACTCTGAGGGTGTTGGTGCTCGAGGTGAGGGCTCTGGCGGTGCTGGTTCTGGGGGTGTTGGAGTTGGAGCTGAGCGTGCACCTGCCGCAGCTGCACGTCCCGAGCGTGTTGGAGTCGGTGGTGGTGCTGGAGCTGGTGGTGTTTCTGGAGCTGGAGAGTCTGGGGCTGGTGCTGGTGCCACTGGCGGCGCCACGACTGGGGGTGCGGGTACACCTCCTACAGGTACTGGTCGTGCTGCCGCAGGGGGTCCTTGCTCTGGGGGTGCTCAGCCGGGTCCTGTCGAGGGTGGAGCCGGTTCTTCTTCGTCGTCTCCTGACACCACTCCTCCTCACCCCTACCCGACTCGTTACCATGCCCTTCGTCGTCTAGAGCGTGAGGAGCAGCAGCGTTTGGAGTGTGAGAGGTCGGAGGTTCAGCAGCGGGTGGAGCGTGAGCGGTTGGAGTTTCAGCAGCAGCAGCAGCAGCAGCCGCAGCCACAGCCACAGTAGCAGCAGCAGCAGCAGCAGCAGCCGCCGCAGCTGCCGGAGCAGCCTCCGGCCCCTGTTTCTGGCCTTCGGGCCCTTGGTCTCCCCTCCTCTCCTCCTGTGTTCGGTCCCACGTTTCCTCCTCCGGACTCCACTCCGGCTGTCTTCCCTCGTTCTCAGTCTCCTCCGTCCCCCCCTCCTCTCGCCCACACTTGGGCCTCTCGCCCTCCTCGTGCTCGTCCCTCGTCCCCTGTCACTGACCTCCGTACCGTGTTGTTTCGTCCTCGTCCTCCTCGTTCTCCTCCGTCTGTCCTTCCTCGTCCTCCTGAGTCTTCCCTCACTGCCTCCCTGTCCACTCCGGTCACTGACTACTACCGCACGTACCGCCCCACTCTCTCTCGTGTTCTCGCCTCTCTTGTTACAGACCCTCGTGCCTCTCCTTCCTCCGTCGCGGTCCTCACTGCCGCTGTCACTGAATTTACTGCTACGCGTCGCCTTGACTACGCCACTCGAGTTGTGGCAGCTCCTCCTGTCCGTCCTCTGTCCGCCGGGGGTGTGTGTGCCCTTGGCTGTGACGTCCTAGAGGACAGACAGTTTGAGCTAGAGTTCCTAGCAGCTGCTTCGCCTCATCTCTGTGCCATGCTGCTCACTCCTGAGGGAGACCCCGACGCTCCTGACATACCTACTCCTCGCACTTACGCTGAGGCAGTGTCAGGGCCTTGGGCCTCTCAGTGGAGAGCTGCCATGGACGCAGAGATGGCCTCCTACAGGTCCACAGGCACTTACGTTGACGAGGTTCCCCCCCCAGGGGCGAACATTGTTGACGGCATGTGGATCTTCAAGGTGAAGCGGCCGCCGGGATCTCCCCCAGTCTTCAAGGCACGCTACGTGGCTAGAGGGTTCAGTCAGCGTGAGGGGGTTGACTTCTTTCAGACCTTCGCGCCCACCCCGAAGATGACCACTCTTCGGGTGTTACTGCACGTAGCAGCGCAGAGAGACTACGAGCTACACTCTCTTGACTTCTCCACTGCCTTCCTCCAGGGCTGCTTACACGAGGAGATCTGGCTGCGTCGTCCTCCGGGCTTCACTGGCACTTTCCCGCCTGGGACCCAGTGGAGCCTCAGACGACCGGTCTACGGTCCCCGCCAGGCACCCCGTGAGTGGCACGACACTCTCCGCTCTACTCTCTCCGACCTCGGGTTTGAGCCGTCTTCCGCCGACCCGTCGTTATTTGTTCGTCGTGGCCGTACACCTTTCTTCGTCCTAGTCTACGTTGACGACTTGGTTTTTGCCACGGCCGACACAGCTGCACTGGCGGAGGTGAAGTCCGAACTGCAGAAGAGACACACCTGCACTGACCTTGGGGAAATGCGCCGCTACCTTGGCCTGCAGATCTCCAGGGACAGAGCCGCTCGCACCATCACTCTCACTCAGTCACACATGGTGCAGCAGGTTCTTCAGCGGTTCGGGCTTCAGGACTCTTCTCCTGCCCCCACTCCTCTTGCTGTAGACCACAGACTCACTGGGCCTTTTCCTGACGAGCCGTTCGAGCCCAGTGGTCCCTACGCAGAGCTGGTGGGCTGCCTCATGTACCTGATGACGTGCACTCGCCCGGACCTCGCCTTCCCCCTTAGCATCCTGTCTCGCTTTGTTGCGACTGGGAGACACCGTCCTGTTCACTAGGCGGCGGCTAAGAGGGTGGCGAAGTACCTTGGCGCGACATCAGGCATGGGGCTTGTACTTGGAGGGACACAGCCAGTTGTACTCACCGGTCACTGTGACTCTTCCTACGCTGACGACGTTGAGACTCAGAGGTCTACGCAGGGTTACTGTTTCAGCCTGGGTTCTGGAGCTGTTTCGTGGAGGTCTACTCGGTCCTCCTCTGTTGCGACTTCTACCGCAGAGGCCGAGATCTACGCTGGGGCCCTTGCTGCTCAGGAGCTACGCTGGTTGACCTTTTTGCTCACTGACCTTGGTGAGCGGCCGAGCTCTGCACCGACCCTGTTTGCTGACAACAAGGCGATGATTCTCCTGTGTTGTGAGCCTCGACTGGAGAGCCGAGTGAAGCACATCGACGTCAGGTACTTCCTCCTTCGAGAGTTGCAGAGACGCAGACATGCTCGTCTGGACTTTGTGGCCTCCGAGGCCAACACTGCAGACATCTTCACGAAGGCCCTCCAGCCTTGTGACCACCGTCGGTTTTGTCTGCAGTTAGGCCTCGTTGAGACTGGGTCTAGTTGACTGCTGTAGGGTGCTCTTTGTCTGTTGCTTGCTTGTACCTTATATATATATATTTGTTTGCACACTTTTGGACTGGCCTTGTGGCCCTTTGCTTGTGCTCAGATTAGGTGGTGACGTTGTGATCCACACTGAGCTTTGTTTTCTCTCTTGTTTTTGACTGGTCTTGTGACCGTAGGTTGCTTGTTGTTGATTGGCCTTCCCCACTTAGGCTATGGGGGTGTGTCAAATATTATAGCCTGTAGTGGGTTGGGCTATATGGGGTACAACTAGTTAGGGTTAGGTGATGTACCCCAATTCTGTCAACACAACGCATTCCGCTGTAGTTCTCATCCTGACACCACCCCACACCCCAAAACAGACACAAACGACAGCAGTTATGAATGCTTCAAAGCTACTGCTAAAATGCATCATTGATCCAACTGAGATTGATCTGGTATGGAAGAGGCAAGCAAAGCTGCCCCACCAACGATCACAACCCCAATTTCATACACGAGGCACTTAGCAGAACTCACCCCGAAACAGACACAAACAACACTACATACCACATGTACACACACTCACACGCATATAGGCTCACACATATGCACACAAAAGATGCAGAAACATACAGCTACTAAGCATGCAATCATAGCCAAAGAAGTTCAGCCATTAATAAACCATCGCTAACTTGTCCCCCATTACCCTCCCTCCCCCCCTCCCTGATCTCCCTTCCCCCCCCCCCACCCCCCACACCCCCCCGTTTTTCTCCGCAAGAACAATGATTGCAGCTGGAACTTCCTGCACAGGAACGAAAAAAAAAAACAAAAAAACAAAAAAAACAAAAAAAAAAACAGCAAATGCAGCTCTCACTCCCTGCACAGCGACACACAAGCAAACGAGCACAGATACAAACAGATAGCGTAATAAAACACGCAACCATCACAAATGAAATTCAGAAATGCAAAAAAATCACCACTAGTCCCCCTTAATCCTCCCTACACCCCTCCGTCCCTCCTTCCCTCATCTCCCTCCCACTCCCTCTCTCATCTCCCTTCTCAGCTCACACGCCCTGCACAAAGCGAAAACAGAAAAGTTCACACACACACGCCCTGCACAAAGCAAAAAGAGAGAAGCCAACCACACACGCCATGCACAAAGGAAAAAAACAGAGAAGTCAACACACACACGCCCTACACAAAGCAAAAAACCAGAGAAATCAACACACGCACGCCCTGCACAGAGCAAAGAGAAGTCAACACACACATGCCCCTCACAAAGCAAAAACAGAGAAATCAACACACAAACGCCCTGCACAAAGCAAAAACAGGGAAAGCAACAACTCACCTTGCACAAAAATCAGAGAATGTTTACACAGACACTGTGTACAAGAATGCAAAATCTAGATCATGCAACTCACCTGCCCTTCCAGGAGGAGGTCAAGCAGGAAATAAAAATCACCCTCCCTGCACAAGAAAGCAAAAAACAAATAGTACACCTCACATGCATTGCACAAGGCGTCAGTGCATAGCAGAAAAGGTGCCAGCGCACTCTCATGCGCACTCTCACTCGCTCCCTAACCGAATCTCTCACGCGCAGTCTCGCGCGCACTCTCTCGCGCACTCTCACGCACACTCTCACGCACACTCTCACGCGCGCACTCTTACGCACTCTCTCACGCCCACTGTCACAAGCTCTCTCATGCGCACTTTCACGCGCTCCCTCACGCGCTCCCTCGCACGCTCCCTCACGCGCTCTCACACGCTCTCTCACGCGCTCTGTCACGCGCTCTGTCACGCGCTCTCTCACACGCACTCTCACACGCGCACTCTTACGCGCTCTCTCACGCGCACTGTCACAAGCTCTCTCACGCGCACTTTCACGCGCTCCCTCACGCGCTCTCACACGCTCTCTCGCGCGCACTTTCACGTGCACTCTCACGCGCACTCTCACGCGCTCTCTCACGCACTCTCTCCTGCGCTCTCTCCTGCGCTCTCTCCTGCGCTCTCTCCTACGCGTTCGCTCCCGTGCACACGCTCTCCCTCGCGCTCCGTCTCAACCCTTCTTGAAATGAAAGTGCAATGCAAGAAGAGACCAATGGACACACAGAGATTACGAAGAGAGCAGAAAATGAAGGAAATTTCAGCGGTTGGAGGGGGGATGAAAGGACCGGGAACGCACCTGATAATTACGTTGTCTCAGAAAACAACACGCGCTGGTGCACCAACCCGCGCTGGTGCACCAACCCGCGCAAGTGCACCAACCCGCGCTGGCGCACCAACCCGCTCTCGCGAGTCGGCGGGGAGGAGGAAGAGGCGACGGCGGGGAAGAGGGAGAGGCGACGGCGGGGAAGAGGGAGAGGCGACGGCGGGGAGGAGGGAGAGGCGACGGCGGGATGGGAAGAAGCGGCGATGGCGGGGAGGAGGGAGAGGCGACAGCGGGGAGGAGGAGAGGCGACGGCGGGGAGGAGGGAGAGGCGTCGGCGGGGAGGAGGGAGAGGCGACGGCGAGGAGGAGGAGAGGCGACGGCGGGGAGGAGGAGAGGCGACGGCGGGGAAGAGGGAGAGGCGACGGTGGGATGGGAAGAAGCGGCGACGGCGGCTGGGAAGGAGGGAGAGGCGATGGCGGGATTGGAGGGAGAGGCGACTGTGGATTGGAGGGAGAGGCGACTGTGGATTGGAGGGAGAGGCGACTGTGGATTGGAGGGAGAGGCGACTGTGGATTGGAGGGAGAGGCGACTGTGGATTGGGAGGAAAACGCAAGATGAGTCTCTCATTCAAGAGGCTCTGCAGTAGGAGCAACTCAGTTCAGAGTCGAGAAGCTGAGAAGGGAAGAACGAAGAAGGGGAGGTTAAAACCAGGGTCTCAAGTAAGAGATTTCGCCATCAATTGGAAAACATTTGAGACTTGCGTTACCTTGTGTTTGTAGGCGAGTTGGACTGGTTGGCTAGGGAAGTTGGCGTGCGACACTCCCCCTATTTTGCCTCAGCACCAAATGCAAAACAAATTTCAGGTACATGAGACTCTCGACACTTGTTTGACATTTCAATGGCACTGTAGCTTCGGCTCCGAGCCTGTTTCCATACCTAGAAGGTTTGGAGCACAGCAAGCGATTTAGTTCCCTTCGCATCCCTCGCTGCACCCCTTTTCGTTTTTTAGGGCTCGTCAACCAATGGGAAACGGGTGTTTCCCATCAACTGCAAAACAAATGATCTTCATGAGACCCTGGTTTGAAGGTTAAGGTTAAGGTTAAGGTTAAGGTTGAGGTTAAGGTTAAGGTTAAGGTTAAGGTTATATTAAGGACGCGGCACCTGTTTTCATTTTGCCAGGATCGATCGTCGGAGGGGATCGATGTGCCGCTTGTACAGTGTATTGGCGACATCGCCAATGCCTGGTATCCGTTTTTCGCTAAACGTCGAGAATGTACAGTAAACGGGTACCCAAATTGGTGGCACCTGCAGCTCGCACGATCGATGTGCCGTGGTGCATGTGTCAGAATGTTATCTTATGTTCTAGCCTGTAGTGGGGTGCTCTATAGCGAGTACAACCCTTCTAGGGTTTGCTATTTGTATCCCCATTTCTGCTAGTTCAATCCTCTTCTTTCTTCTAACTTTATCATGCTATCAGAGCAGGTCGATCCCCTTGGATCGATCCTGTGGGTGGGTTACCACCTCCACGCTTCCGCTACCATTTTTTTCTTCCCGCCGTGCGCCCCGAGGCGCGCGGCGGTTTTCTGCCCGCCGTGCGCCCCGAGGCGCGCGGCGGTTCTCTGCCCGCTGTGCGCCCCGAGGCGCGCGGCGGGCTTCTGCCCCGTCGTTCGCCGCGTCGCCCTCTGGAGGCGCCGCGACGGGCGACGGGGACCCGTCGCGGCCCCGCCGCCCCACCATCGCGGCCCCGCCACCGACCTGTCGCGGCCCCGCCGCCCCACCATCGCGGCCCCGCCACCGACCTGTCGCGGCCCCGCCACCTCCGGTCGCGGCCCCGCCACCGACCTGTCGCGGCCCCGCCGCCCCATCATCGCGGCCCCGCCGCTTTCCTTCGCGGCCCGTCGCCCTACTCGTCGCGGCCCCGCCCCCCCCCCCCCCCCCCCCCCCCCCCTCCCCCCCTTTTCCCGTCGCCCGTCGCGGCTCCTTCGGGGGCAGCTGTGGGGTGGCGGGTATGGGGGTGGCCGGTGTGCATTCCTCCCTTTGCTCCTCCTCCTCCTTCGTCTCCCACTGCTGCAGCTGTCGCTGAGGGGGGTGGATGTGTGGGAGACTGGGTTTAGGGTTTAAGGGGGGTGCGTGGGAGTGGAGCTAGCGGTGTAGCAGTGGGTGTGTATCAGGGGGTGGGACTGTCTGCGGGAGGTTGAGTGGAGGCTGCCAGCTTGTTGTCCGCAGCACCTGTAGTTCGGGGCGTTGTCCCGGTAGCCCAGTGAGCTTGTCGCTGCGCCAGTCGCCTGTGGGTCCGTTGCCCGTCTGCCGCTGCTTAAGCCGCGGGGCCTGTTGCTCCTGTAGTCCGGGCGCTTAGTCCGGTAGCCACTGTGCTCGCCACTCGTGTTGCCCGTGTGTCTGCAGCTTCAGCCGCCGCCTTCTATCTCCTCTCCTCTCACTCTCTCTCCTCCTCCTCACTTGCCCGTTGTGACTACCACTAGCTTTGCTCATAATTGTGCACTCTAAACTATTTCTTCTTGAACTTGTGCTCAGAATGTGTGGTGACATTGTGATCCACCCTGAGCTTGTACTGCTTTGCCTGCTCTGCTGATTACACCCCACTTTGGCTATGGGGGTGTGTCAGAATGTTATCTTATGTTCTAGCCTGTAGTGGGGTGCTCTATAGCGAGTACAACCCTTCTAGGGTTTGCTATTTGTATCCCCATTTCTGCTAGTTCAATTCTCTTCTTTCTTCTAACTTTATCAGCATGCGTTAGGGTTGGCGGGAGAGCATATCGCGCCACAGGTGATAGCCTCGATCGATCGGCGTCGCCCACGGTCGCAGGCCAAAAATTCTTGACTCGCTGCGAATGGAATTACTGGACGACCATCCACGCTCTGCCCTGATTGGCTGCCCGTTTAAGTGTAATGGCAGCTCCAACCTGCCCGAGCCTGCAATTTCGATCCTGGCACCTATAGCTCGATGTGTCTACCCCACTGCAAATTTGCAGTGTGGGCACATCGGTGTGCCGATCGATGTGCCAGGATCGATGTGAGGCCACGATCCTTGTAAAATAAAAACAGGTGTTGCGTCCTAAGGTCGTAACCATGTATAGCAAAGCATAGAGCAGCTGGAAATATGGTCTACACAACCAACAACCCGAAGGCGTACGTAGGAAACACGTTATTCCCTTATCCGTAGGATAACCGCCAGCAAAACTGGGGAGTGCTCTATGCTAAAAAACGGAGAATGACCTAGGGGGGGCAAAAGGAGTCACCGAGTAGCCAAGAGGAGCGGAGGTCCGAGTGAATGGAAGGGTTTCCGTCAGGGTCAAAGATGAGGAAACGCAGTCGGGTGGCCAGCGTAATGCGAGAGGCCGAGCGTTGCTGTTTCTTCACTGATTGTCGCTTCCTCCGCCAAAGGAATATTTCGAAAGCAAGGAGGAATTGTGCTAGGATGAACTGGAGGATCTCGAAACTAGAAGAGGGGGAGTCGTTGTATTTGAGGTCACATCGCGCATTCCAGATTGCCTTTGCACAGGCACCCACCAAAAGGCTCCATAGGGCTACCTGGCCTGCTCTCGAGGTGAGCGGGAAAAGCAAGAGCTCAGGAGGAGGAGAACAGTGGAGGTGGCGATGGGCGACGGAAGAGAGGGCAGAAATAACTGCAGGGGCCACCCCACACGAATAAAACATGTGGGAGATAGTCTCAGTAGTTGCAGAAGGGCAGAGTGAACAAATCCCTCGATCAGCGGCAAAGTTGAACCGAGAGCCCGAAGGAAGAGAGCGGGTATAGAACCGGTACAAGATGTCGCGCTGGAGGCTGGGTTGTTCACGTAAAAAGTCATGGGAGAAGTCGGGAATAAGAGGAGGAGGCGCGGGGAGGATGCGGATCCAACGGGCGGCGTGATCGAGAGGACGCTTGGTATAGAGGCGGCGACGAAGGTCAGCTACACTGGGGCAACCATCCTGGAGGATGTCGAGCCGCGCGCTGAGCCCTGCACCTGTAAAGAAGGGACCTGCAAGCCAGGACCCGACGACATGCACTGCTGAAAGATCACCGATACGGTAGGTGCCAATTCCGATCGATGAACGTTCAATGAGCCGGTTGGGGAGGACACGGTGGAGGGAAGCTGAAAGCGACGACGGAGGCAAGAAGGCTATAACTAGGAGGGCACGGGTGGGGGAGGCATCAGAGTCCTGCGAGGGCACGAACCACTCCCCTGGAGCTGCCGAGGGGGGAGGCGGAGAGCGGAGGGCTGACCACCAGGGCTTGGGAATGGCACGAATGAGTTCCCGCCAGACTCTTCGACCCGAGGAGGAGTTGGCGAGGGGAACCGAAGAAGTGAAGTGGAAGAAGGGGAGGAAGAAGGGTGTTCTGTGGGTGGTGAACAAAAAAAACCTTTCACTGGGGCAGAGCGAGGCACCAAAGGCTATACAGTACTTCAGAACAACAGCTCGATCAAGTGAATTGAATCGAAACAAAAAACAAAGCTTGAGGATTTTCATATAGCAAAAAAGAAAACAAGCAGAACCTTCAGTTTGGAAGGTAGTGTCACGTGACATCTGGTGAATCGAGTGAAACAATCACCTGCTGACACATTTGAGTCACAAGCAGAACAGGTCATCATCGTGAATTACAACCCACTATAGACACCTGAACAGTTTTTTGTAAGACACAATTTTCTAGCAACCCTCTTCTGCAAACGATAGGAATCTAATTTCTACGCAACCCTTCCGACGTTCAACGTCGAATCTTGTTAATTATAGTTTTTTATTCGCTTCATGCATTCCACTATAATGCAAGCAAACACATTGCCAGGAGTTCATACATGCTTGGTAGTTTTTACACAATCCCACGCGTATTGGTGTTTGAAGGCTCTTCAAAAATACCTATAGCGCCCCTAGGGTTACTTGTCCCTACGGGCTAACAGCTCGAAACTTCAGACTTCTGTTTTTTTCCGTCTCACGTCTGGCGGCGGCAAAAAGAAACCGATTATGCGCCCTGGCTACCTTGGTTGTCGGTCCCTCCAACACATCCCGAATAAGGGGAACAGACAGTCAGATGCACCACCATGAGCTTGGCGTGATCCTACGGTCCTTGTCCTTTTCAAGGCAGCCCATAGTATTTCCTCCTCAATTCCAGTTGCGCCCTCTCCCTCTCCCTCTTGGCTGCCAGTGCTGAATGCTCTGCTGCCCTGGCTGCTGGCCCTGACACGCCCTGTGTGGTGAGTCATGAGGGACGCGAGTGGTGAGTCATGAGGGACGCGACACGGCAGTTGATGCTGCTCCAACCCACAAGGCCCTATATTCGGGATCAAGGCAGCCCATAGTATTCCCTCCTCAGCTCCAGCTGCGCTCTCTCCCTCTCCCTCTTGGCTGCCAGTGCTGACTGCTCTGCTGCTCTGGCTGCTGGCCCTGACACGCCCTGTGTGGTGACTCATGAGGGACGCGACAAAGCGGCTAATGCTGCTCCAACCCACAAGGCCCTATATTCGGGATCAAGGCAGCCCATAGTATTTCCTCCTCAGCTCCAGCTGCGCTCTCTCCCTCTCCCTCTTGGCTGCCAGTGCTGACTGCTTCGCTGCCCTGGCTGCTGGTCCTGACACACCCCCAAATGCCAGACATGCACACCATGTGAATCGTGACCCTCCCACTCCATCCCTCAAATCCAGCTGCGCCCTCTCCCTCTCCCTCTTATATGTTGTACCCACATCACATCATCTTCCTCAAGGCAGCCCATAGTACTTCCTCCTCAGTTCCAGCTGAGCCCTCTCCTTCTCCCGCTTGGCTGCCAGTGCCGATTGCTCCGCTGCTCTAGCTGCTGGCCCTGACACGCCCAGTGTGGTCATCGAAGCTACCCGCCGGTTGATGCTGCTCTTGCTGCGCATGGCCTTGATTGCTTCTTTCACACTGCAGGTGGGGAATGAGGAGAGGACAGGAGAAGAGAGACAAGGTAATCATAAAAACGAGAAAGGGGAGAGGCGGTTCAAACTGCTCCTGCTGTGCACCACCTTGCGTACTTCTATTCACACTGTAAGGAGGGGAATGAGTGGAGAGCAAGGGTAGCTAGGAGGAGGTGGGTGCAAGGGTGTGAAGAGTGGCGAGCGATAAAATGCAGCAGTTGTTCTTCGCGTCCCTTGCACACCCACAGGCGTCGATCCTCAATCACTCCCTTGATTCTCTTGCCCTTTGTCCTGCCACTTACCTTGTCCAGTAATACTGAGAACCAGCTCACCTGTCTTCATGTCTTTCACATCCATCAAATACCGATCGTCAATCACCACTCCCTTGTTCCTCTTGCCTCTACGTAACAAACACGTTCTTTCAAACTAGAACGGCTGCTCTCACCTGTTCTTCACGTCTTTCACATCCACCAGATATCGATCGTCGATCACTACTCCCTTCTTTTTCCTCCTCACCCTCCTCCGTTCCCCCTCCTCTCCCTCTTCCTCCTCATCCCCTTCCATCTCCTCCCACTCCTCCTCTCCCACCCCACCCTCCCCTCCCTCTCCTCCCTCCATCTCATCTGAAAACTGTACCCTCTTCTTCCCCTCCTTTCCCTCCCCCTCCTCTTCCCCATCTCCCTCCTCCACTCCCTCTCCCTCCTGCCGCACCACCTCACCAACTGTACCCAGACCACCCGAGCCAGTTCCAGGCTCGGCCGAACCACCAGCGGAGGCTCGGGAGGAAGCTGCTTCGGCAGAAGTTAGGCCGAGCCTACGCTCCACAGCAAGAGCAGCAGCCGAAGCAGCAGCCATAGCAGCTTGTGCTGCAGCAGCAGCTGAGGGCATAGCAGCAAGAGAAGCCGGAGCTGCAGCAGGGGCAGTGATTGTCGCAGCAGCAGCACCACCACCACCCCCAACACCACCACCACCACCAATGCCAGCACCGACTGCTAAAGCAGCAGCAGCAGCGGCGGCGGCTGCTAAAGCATCACCACCAATACCGCCAGCAACAGCACCAGCAGCAGCAGCAGCAGCACCGGCAGTAGCACCAGCTCTAGCGGCAATCGCCTTGGCATTCACAATAGCCCGAGCAGCAGCAGCTGCAGCAGCGAATTGAGCCATAGGCGCACCAGTACCCAGCCCAACCACATTCAAACCCATTCCACCCATACCACTCATGCCAATACCACTACCTGCCAGAGCGGGGGGCAGAGCAGAGCCAGAGTGGAGGGGGCGGGGAGCAGCACGCAGAGCTTGCAGCAGTGCATGGTGAGCTACTAATGGGTTGGTGTGTGTTTGATGCGGTGCAAGGGGGTTGGTATGGGTATGATGCGGTGCCACACCTGGGGTCTGCAACAAACCGCCACCAAGAAAAGCCCCCCCACTATTGGGAAAAGCACCCCCACCGGGGAAGGGCGGGCCTGGAATATGGGCTGTTGTTGAGTGTGGGGGAGAGACAAGTGAGTGGACGGCGGACAGGGGAAAGGATGGGCTAGCAGGGAGCGTGACGGGGAAAGCAGGTGCACCAGCCACCGCCGCCGCTGCAGCAGCACCAGCTTCCTTTCTCTCCCTTTCGTTCTCTCTCTCGATTTGTCTGTCCTTCTCTCGCTCCTTCTCGGTCTCCCTTGCAACTACCTTCATCTCTCGCCAGTCCTGCCGCCACTTCTTCCTCTTCTCAGCTAGAACCAGCAGTTCCATACTCATGCCCTCCGCTTCTTCCTCCTCCTCCTCCTCTTCCTCCTTCACCTCCTTCTTTGTTGCTTTCCCTGCCTTTCCCTCCTCACCCCCCTCCTTTTCCATCCCAGATTTCTTGTTCCCCTTTTCCTTTTCCTTCTTCCCCTTCACCTTCCCTTTCCCCTTCCCCTTCACCCGCTTTCCTCTCCTGTCCTCCTTCTTTCCGCTGCTCCTCCTCTTTTTCAACCCTCCCTCCTGAGAACTATCTCCACTAGAATCACTCTCACTGGAATCACTATCATTGAAAGTTTCCTCCTCACTGCACTCACGCTCCCTTTGCCGCTTCCCATGCCCTCCATCCCCCTTCCCCACATCCCTTCCCTCCTCCTTCCCCACAACTTTCTCCTCCAATTTTTGTCGTGACTCAGAAATTCGCCCAGGCCTTTCACCCCTCCCATCCTCCCTACCCTCTTCCTGCTTCCCATCGTCATGTGTCTTACTCTCATCACACATCTTCTTATTGTCATGCTTATTTGTTCCTCTACTATCCTTTTCTCTCCTAGCCTCTTTTTCCTCAACTTCCTCACCTTTTCCCATCTCCACTGCTTCTCTCCTCTCCCCATTTTCTCCTTTGCCTTCATTGACTGTTTTCCCTCCCTTTTCTCTCCCCTCCTTTTGTCTCCTCTCCTCTCTTCTCTCATTTTCTCTCCCCACTTCTCGTCTCTCCTTCCCTCTCGTCTCCTGCTCACTCCTCTCTTTTATCCCCCTCTCCCCCCCCTTCCTCTCCATATCGCCCCTGTCCTTCTCCCTCCTCTCCTTCTCTTCCCATTCCCTCTCCCTCCTCTCCTTCTCTTCCCTTTCCCTCTCCCTACTCTCCTTCTCTCCACTTTCCCTCTCCCTCCTCTCCCTCTCTCCCTTTTCCCTCTCCCTCCTCTCCTTCTCTCCCCTCTCCTTGTCCCTCCTCTCCTTCTCCCTCTTCTCCTTCTCCTTAATTTCCTCCTCCACCTTCCTCCTCTTCCTCTCCTCGTTTGTATCATGACCCATGCTTCTTCCTTCCCTCTTCTGCCCATGCTCCTCCCCATCCAATCGCCCTCTCTTCTCCTTTTGCTCCTTCTCCCCTTCTTTTCTCGCCCCACTTATACTCTCCCCCTTCTCTTTATCCCTTTCTCCTGCCTCCTTAACACCTTTATTACCCCTCTTCTCCTCTGTCCTCTCATCCCTTATCTTCTCTTTCCTCTCATCTTTCCTTTCCCCTCTCCTCCCATCCTTCTCTTCCTCCCTCCTCTCATCTTTTCTATCATCCTTCTTCTCTTCTTTCCTTTCCTCCGTCCTCTCCTCTCTCCTCTCATCCCTCCTCACCTCTTCCATCTCGCCCCCCTTACCCTCCCTCTTCTTTTCGTCCATCTTATCCCTATGCGAACCACCCACCCTTTCACTTCCACTATCCTTACCAGCCTCCTCCCTTTTCCTTTCCTCTTCCGTTCTCCTTCCCTCCTCCCTTCTCCTTCCCTCCTCCCTTCTCCTTCCCTCCTCCTTTCTCTTTCCCTCCTGCTTCCTCTCCTCGTCCTCCCTTCTCCTCTCCTCTTCCTTTCTCTTTCCATCCTCCATTCTCCGTTTGTCCGCCTTTCGCTTATCCTCCTCCCGTTTCTTATCATCCTCGTTTCTCCTGAGATCCTCCTTTCTCCCTTCCCCATTCCTCCCCTTTTCATCCCTCCTCTCCTTATCCTCCTCCCTTTTTCCTTTATCCTCCTCCTTTCGTCCTCCCTTTTCAACCCTTCTCCTATCCTCCTCCTTTCTCCTATCCTCCTCCCGTTTCCCATCCTCCTCCCATCTTCTGTCCTCCTCCTTTCTCCTATTACCCCTTCCACTTTCCTCTTTCTTTTCATCCCTCCTCTCAATCCTCCTCTCCTCCCCCCGATGACCCACACTCACACCACCTACCTTCACCTCCCCATTCCCACTCTTCTCTACCTCTGCATTTCGCCTCGCCTGTTCCTCCCCTTTCTTCCCATCCCTCCCCTCCCCACGCTTCTCCTCCTCCTTCCTTCGCTTATTCTCCCTCCCTTCCTCCCCCTCCTCCTCCTCTTCCCCTTTCCTTCTCCCTCCCTTGCCCTTATCACTCCCCAAAGCCCGTTTCCGGTCCCAATCCCTAGCATTATCATCACCATCACCATCATCATCACCACCACCACCCCCACCACTCCCTTTACCGCCAACTATCCCTCCCTTTCTGGACGATCCTACTCCCTGTCCCCCTTTCTCTCCCCTGCCACTACCACCACCACCCCCAGAACCGCCACCACCACTGTTGCCAGCATCCCTGTTGTTACCACTGCCTTTGCCACTCGCTTTACTGCCAGTCTTTCCATCCTTACCACCCTTACTCTCACGCTCCCCTCTCCCTCCTCCCTCACCCCCTTCCTTTCCTCCTCCTCGTCCTTCTCCTCCATCTCCTCCTTCCATTCCACTCTCTCTCTGCGCACCACCCTTCCCCCTCTCCCCTTCACTCCTTGTCCCTTCCACCACCTTAGATCGCTCTTGACCTTCCCCTTTCTCTTTTTCCCCCTCTCCCACCGCGCCACTCCCTATTCTCACACCACCATTCCCACCTTCCTCCTCCTTCCTGCTCTTTTCAGCCGATTCGAAAATCTTCCTACCTTCCCCTCTCTCCTTTCCCCCCTCTCCCGCTGCGACACTCCCTATTCTCACACTACCACCCCCACCTTCCTCCTCCTTCCCTGTCTCTTCTGCCAATGCAACGCCCTTCTGACTTTTCACTCTCTCCTCTTCCCGCTCTCCTGTTGCTCCACTCCCTCTTCTCACACCACTGGCCCCACCCTCATTCTCCTTCCTCCCTATCTCTTCTGCCAATGCAACGCCTTTCTGACTTTTCCCTCTCTCCTCTTCCTCCACCTTCTCAGCCCCTCTTTCTCCTCCACTTCTGTTCACATCGGCCTTTTCTCCTCGTTCCCGTGCTGTGTCTACCCCTCTTTCCATTCCTTCCTTACCTTCCCTTGCAACTCTTTCTCCCCCATCTGCTTTGTGGCTGCTGAGGGTTTCCCCTCCTCCTCTTGCCCCTCCTCCTCTTTCCCCTCCTCCTCTTTCCCCTCTTCCTCTTTCCCCTCCTCTTTCACCTCCTCCTCCCCTTCTTCCTACCTCCCTTGCTCCTCTTTCCCTTACACCTCCTTCCCCACCTCCTCTTTCCCTCGTATTGTTGCTGCCCCTCATTCGTGTCACATCAACATCCCTCCTCTCTGCTATCTTTCCCATGTCTCGTTCACGCGCTTCCCTTCCAATATCCCTTCCTGCCCCAAAAATACAGCTGCTGCTTGCATCTCTGCCCCTCGTTCTTGTCACATCCACATCCCTCGTTCTTGTCATGTGCACCAATTCCCTCCCCCTCTCTGCTGACATTCTAACGTCTCTCTCGCCTCCTACACTCCCTCTACCCTTTGCTTCTCCACCATCCACCTCTCTCCCCTTCTCCCTCTCCCTCCCAGCACTCACTCTCTCACCCTCCCACACGTCTCTCCCCTTCTCCCTTTCCTTCCCCTCCCTCCCATCACTCCCCTTCTCCCTCTCCCTCTCAACACTCACCAACCCCCTCTCCCTCTCCCTCCCCTCACTCCCCTTCTCCCCTTCCCTCTCCCTCTCCCTCCCCTCACTCCCCTTCTCCCCCTCCCTCTCCCTCCCCTGACTCGCCTTCGCCCCCTCCCTCTCCCTCTCCCTCCCCTGACTCGCCTTCTCCCTCTCCTTCTCCCTCCCCTCACTTCCATTCTCCCTCTCCCTCTCCCTCTCCCTCTCCCCCTCTCTCGCCCTCTCCCTCTCCCTCTCCCTCTCCCTCGCCCTCGCCCTCTCCCTCTCCCTCTCCCTCTCCTCACTCACCTTCCCCCTCTCCCTCTCCCTCCCCTCACTCCCAATCGCCCTCTCCCTCTCTCTCCCCTCAGTCCCCTTCTCCCTCTCCCTCTCCCTCTCCCTCCTCTCACTCGCCTTCTCCCTCTCCTTCTCCCTCCCCTCACTCCCCTTCTCCCTCTCCCTCTCCCTCTCCCTCTCCCTCTCCCTCTCCCTCTCCTTCTCCTTCTCCTTCACCCTTTCCCTCTCCCTCTCCCTCTCCCTCTCCCTCTCCCTCTCCCTCTCCCTCTCCCTCAACTCAATCCGGGTTCTGCTATCAGGGCCTACAGCTGCAGCAACAGCACTAACAGCACTAACAGCTGCAGTAACCACCCCAGGTGTTGCTGCCACTACTGATTTTCTACGCGCCTCAAACATAGCAGCAGCACCACCAACACTAACAGCAGAAGCAGCGGCAGCAGCACCAGCTGCTGAAGCACCAGCGGCAGCAGCACCAGCTGCTGAAGCACCAGCGGCAGCAGCACCAGCTTCTGCTCCTCCTCCTTCCTCTCCTTCCCCTCCCTTACCCTCCCTTTTCTTACCTCCCTCTCCATCACCTCCCACCTCCACCTCTTCCTCTTTTTCACCCTCTGCACCCTCCTCATCCGTCCCATAACCAAGCAGCGTATTCAGCACATTCACACCTGCTCCCAACTCATCTGGCTTCTTTGAATGACTCATCTGACCCGCACTCACACCTGCTTCCGACTCATCCGCCTTCTTGACTCGAGTCATCTCACTCACATTCACGCTCGTGTTTATATCATCCCGAAAACACATCCCTGCCCCCTTCTCGCCTGCCCATTTTTCTCCTGTGCCCCTTCTACCTGCCCCCTTACAACCTGCCTCGTTTTCATCTGCCCTCTTTCCACAGGCCCCTTTCCCACCTTCCCACTCCCCATCTTCCCCCTTCCCTTCCTCCTCTCCCGTTTCTCCCTCACCCAAAGATGACTTCCTTTTTCCCTCATCCCCCCTGTCCGCCTCCTCTCCACCACCCATCTTTTCCACAACAGCCCCTGGCGGAATGACGTTCAGACCAAAGACCAGAGGAGCATCTAACCACTCCTTGCTAGCCCCGCCCTGCCAAGCGTTCCCTTGCTGCCCAGGAGCAACAATTCGTCCAAGACTGGATTCTCTAGACGTTTTAGAAGCCCTGCTGTCACATGCGGCACTGTTTCTTCCAGCAGGCCTATGGGGGCCACCTGTGGCAGCAGCTACTCTTGCTCTGGCCCCAGCGGCTTCTGAATCTGCAGCAGCAGCTGGGGCTACGACAGCTGCACTGCCAGCAGCAGCACCAGCAGAAGCAACAGCAGCAACAGCAGCAGCAGGAGCAGCAGGAGCAGCAGCAGCAGAGCGAGCAGTGGATCCGGCAACAACAGCAGCAGCACCAAAGCTGGCAGTTGCACCAGCAGCACCAGGAAAACGATTCCCCTCACCAGCTGCACCAGGCCCAGCATTTCCCCAATTGGGAGCATTTCCAAAAGTAGAAACATTTCCAAATCCAGCAGTTCTGTTAAGGAAGAGCATTTGAGCGGGTGAGAGCTGGTGGTAACCCGAGTTGTAACCAAGGGGAGGGAAGGGGCCAAGGGGAAAGGGGAGAAAGGGGTTGAAGGGGAAAGAGTGCGGCATGTGGGGAAGGATGGGGGGAAGAGATGCTGCTGCGCCAATGGGGGGGAGAGATGCAGCTGCGCCTATGGGGGGAAGGCGGGATACTGCACCAATAGGGGGAAAGGAAGATGGGGGGTGGGAAGATGGGGGGTGGGAAGGCGGGGGAAGAGAAGAAGTCATGATGCCCTTAGGAGGAAAATGAGAGGATGCGGCTGGTGTGGTGGTAGCAGGAGCATTATCGGCAGGCGCATCAATGTCAGCAGGAATAGCTGTGCCGGCAGCAGCAGCAGCAGCAGAAATATTATCAGCAGTGGCATTGGCGGCGGTAGAAGGAGCATCAATATCAGCAGGAGTGGCTGTGTCGGCAGCAGCAGCAGAAGTATTTTCAGCAGCAGTGGGAGCATTGGCGGTGGTGCCAGTGGCATTGTGCATAGCAGGAGCGTTATCAGCAGGAGTAGTATTGTCAGCAGCAGCAGATGTATTTCCAGTAACAGTGGCACCATCGACAGTGATAACAGTGGCATTGTGCATAGCAAGAGCATTATCAGCAGAAGAAATAGTTGCGTCAGTAGCAGCACAAGTTTCTTCTGTTGCAGTTGCAGCACTAACAGTGGTGGCAAAAGTATTGCGGGTAGCAGCAGCATTATCAGCAGGAGTAGTAGCTGCGCCAGTAGCAGCGAAAGTGATGTCAGTCGTTGTGGAAGCATCAACAGTGGTAGCAGGGGCATGGTGTGTAGCAGGATCAATATTGGCAGGAGTTATCGTGCCAGTAGCAGGAGGAGTAATCGTGTCAGCAGCAGCAGGAGGAATGGTCTTGTCAGTAGCAGCAGAAGTACCTTCAGTAGCAGTGGCACCATTGACGGTGGTAGCAGGAGCATTGTGAATTGCAGAGTCTTCATCAGCAGAAGTGATTGCGTCAGTAGCCGCAGAAGTGCTTTCAGTAGCTGTGGCAGCATTGACGGAGGTAGCAGCAGCAGTAGCGTTTTCAATAACAGTGGCAGCATCAACAGTGGTAGCAGCAGCAGCAGCAGAAGCACCAGCAGCAGCACCAGCAGCAGCATCCACTGGAGTAGCAGAAACGGCAGAAGCAGTGTCGGGTGCAATAGCTGCATCGACGGCAGTCATGGTAGCAGTATCAGCATCAGCATCAGCATCAGCATCAGCATAAGCATCAGCGAGCACAGTTGTTGCAGCAACAGCCAAAATAGCAGCATCGGCATCAGCATCGGCATGAGCAGCATCGGCATCAGCATCAGATGCAACAATCCCATCCTCAGGTGTCAAATCAGCTGTTTCGGGTGCCCAGTAACCTAGCTCAGGAGGAGCATCTTCAGGTGAAAATTCAGGTGGAGGCTCAGCCTTGGTGTCAGAATCAGCCTTGGCATCAGCATGAACAGCAGCATCAGCATTGGCATCAGGTGCACCACCCCCATCCTCAAACGTCCGATCAGCTGTTTCAGGTGCCCAGTAGCCTGACTCAGGTGAATCTTCAGGTGCATCTTCAGGTGCATCTTCCATTGAACCTTCAGGTGAAGGCCCAAATAGATCAGCAATTTGAATCTCACGTGAAGTTTTGCAACTCTCAGGTGCTTCCTGACGAGCCTCAAATGTAATGGCAGCAGGTAGCTCAGGTGCTTTCTCAGGTGAAAGTTCAGGTGGCTCGCTGAGGGCCTTGCCAGGTGAGCTGTCAGAATCTTCCGATGAGCTGTCAGGGCCTTCGAGTGAGCTGTCTGAGTGGTCAGCTGAGCTGTCAGGGCGTTCAGGTGAGCTGTCAGAATAAGGAAAGTAGAAACCAATCTCCTCATGTTTCTCCTCAGGTGATCCAACAACCTCCCCCACATGAACCTCCCCCACACAAACCTCCCCCACGTAAACTTGCGAGCTGGTACCATCCTCCTTCTCCTCAATCCCGACCCCAGCTGCTTCTCCGCTCTCTCTTTTACAGGCCCCACCCATCGCCTCCTCTCTGTCAGTCATCCTAACTTCTCCTACACTACCCCAATCGCTGGCCCCACACGCTGCTGGCTTCCCTCTGCCGATCCCTCTCCCCACCTCACTTGCTGAAACCAGCCCTGCTGATTCTCCCGCCGCCAGTGCCGATACAGTAGGCTTACTGTTGGCAGCACCCTGCCAATCTCCTCCATTGACCCCCCCACACACTGCTGGCTTCTCTCTGCCGATCCCTCTCCCCACCTCACTTGCTGAAACCAGCCCTGCTGATTCGCCCACTGCCGGTGCCGATGCAGCAGGCTTACTGTTGGCAGCACCAACAGCAGATGCTGACTTCTGAGGCACCTCAAAACCAGCTGCTCCAGCAGGGTTACTATTGGCAGCGCTAGCAGCAGCATATGCCTCAACAACCCTGGCCAAAGAATCTTTTCCTTCTGCCTGTGAGAAAAACGGAGGCAACAACAAGCCAGAAGAACCAGCTGCAGCGGTAGCTGGTGCTGCTGCTGCTGCTGTCTTTGCTGCTACTGCTGATGCCACACTCCTTTTGCCAGAAGTACCAGCTGCAGCGGTAGCTGCTGCTGTTGCTGCTGCTGTCTTTGCTGCTGCTGCTGCTGTCTTTGCTGCTGCTGCTGCTGTCTTTGATGCTGCTGCTGCTGCTGTCTTTGCTGCTACTGCTGCTGCTGCTGGTGGTGGTGCTACTGATGCCGCACTCCTTTTGCCAGAACCACCAACAGATGCAGGAAGAACAGCAGCAGAAACAGGAGCAGAAGAAGCAGCAGGAGCAGAAGAAGCAGTAACAGCAGGAGCAGGAGCAGCAGCGAGCGGAGGAGAAGCAACAGCTGACATTAGAGGAACCGAAGGTAGAGGAGCAAGGGCAGGAAGAGGGGCAAGAGGAGGCAGCGGGGCATGGGCAGGGGCAGGCAGAGGAGCAAGAGCAGGAGTGGTCCGCCCCACGCCGGCACCACTGGCCCACGCATGCCATGCTGCTACACATACCGCTGCTGCTGATGATGAGGATGAGGAGGATGAGGAGGAGGAGGAGGACGACGACGACGACGAACAGGAGGAGGAAAACGAGGAGGAGGAAGAGGAGGATGGGGCGGAGGAGGAAGAGGAGGAGGAAGAGGAACAAAAAGTAGTACCCCAAGCCATGAGCGGTTTTGCTGCTGCTGCCGCTGTTGCTGCTGCTCCTGCAGGCAGAGGCATGGATGATGGGAGTCCCACATTCACATGCAATGGGTGCATGGGTCCGTCCACACCCAGAGGCAACAATGACTTTTGAGGCGCCTGAAGAGACATGGGTCTCTCCACACCCGAAGGCAGCGACGACTTCTGAGGCGCCTCAAAAGATGAGGGTCGGTCCACACCTGGAGGTAGCTCCTCATCCCCCCATGGTGATCGGGATGGTGGTGATGGTCGCGGTGCTAGTGGCGGTGGTGCTAGGGGTGGTGATGCTAGTGGTGGTGCTGCTAGTGGTGCTAGCGGTGGTGATGCTAGTGGTGGTGCTGCTAGTGGTGCTAGCGGTGGTGATGCTAGTGGTGGTTGCAATCTCAGTAATGCCATTGTTGGCGGTGACGTGGCCTGTGCTGTAGCAGGAGCAGCAAGGGCAGCAGCACCACCACCACCACCAGAAGCAGGAGCAGCAGGAGAGGGAGCAGGAGCAGCAGCAAGAGCGGCAGCAGGAGTGACAAAAGCAGCAGCAACAGCCGAAGCAGCAGCAGCAATAGCAGTAGCTGCAGCAGCCACAGCAGGAGTGGCAGCGGCAGCGCGGACCTTAGCTCGTTGCAGGGCAAGAGAAACCACCAGTGCATGGGCTGTGTCCAGCCCTGTGGCCGCTGCTACACACGCCAGAGACACTGGTTGTTGTGCTACAGATGGTGCTAATGCAGCCACTGGTGGCACCACAGGTGCTACAGCTGCTGCAGGTGCTACAGGTGACACCACCAGTGCATGGGCTGTGTCCAGTCCTGTGGCCGCTGCTACACATGCCAGAGACACTGGTTGTTGTGCTACGGACGGTGCTGCTGCAGATGGTGCTGCTACAGATGGTGCTACAGATGGTGCTGCTACAGATGGTGCTACAGATGGTGCTGCTGCTGCAGCTACAGCCACCACTGATACCCCAGGTGCCACAGGTGATGAAGGCGGCAGTGACATGACAAGGGGCAAGGGAGGAGCAGCGGGGAGGGCAGCAAGAGCGGGGGTGGTAATGGTAAGAATGGAGTCGCTTTTGGGTGGATGAAGAACAGAAACCTCCTCTCCTCCTACCTCCTCTCCTCCTACCTCCTCTCCTCCCCCCTCTACTTCCTCTCCTCCCACCTCCACCTCCTCTGCTCCCTGTGCCTCCATACCAACATCTTCTCCTCTTCCGTCACCTGTTTCCACATACACAACCGTCTCTGCCTCTCCCTGTGCTTCCGCCTCTGCCTCCGCCTCTGCCTCTGCTTCTGTCTCTCCCCCTGCATCTGCCTCTGCTCCTCCCTCTGCCTCTGCTTCTGTCTCTCCCTCTGCCTCCATCCCAGCAGCTTCTCCTCTTCCATCACCTGTTTCCAAGTACACAACCGTCTCTGCCTCTCCCTCTATCTCTGCCTCTCCCTCTATCTCTGCCTCTCCCTCTATCTCTGCCTCACCCTCTATCTCTGCCTCACCCTCTATCTCTGCCGCTGCCTCCTCTGCTCCTCCCTCTACCTCCTGTCCTCCTGCCTCCTCTGTTACAACCTCCACCTCCTCTCCTCCTACCTCCACCTCCTCTCCTCCTACCTCCACCTCCTCTCCTACCTCCACCTCCTCTCCTCCTACCTCCACCTCCTCTCCTCCTCCCTCCACCTCCTGTTTTCCTCCCTCCACTTCCTCTCCTCCTTCCTCTACTTCTTCTCCTCCTTCCTCTACTTCCTCTCCTCCTACCTCCATTTCCTCTGCTCCCTCTGCCTCCATACCAACAGCTTCTCGTGTTCCATAACCTGTTTCCAAGTACACACCCATCTCTGCCTCACCCTCTCCCTTCGCCTCTCCCTCTGCCTCTCTCTCTGCATCTGCATCTGCCTCTGCTCCTGCCTCTGTCTCAGCTTCTGCCTCTCCCTCTGCCTCTGCCTCTGCCACTCCCTCTCCCTCTCCCTCTTCCTCTCCCTCTCCCTCTCCCTCTTCCTCTCCCTCTCCCTCTCCCTCTCCCTCTCCCTCTCCCTCTCCCACTGCCCCTGTCTCTGCCTCTACATCTGCCTCTGCCTCTGCCTCTCCCTCTCCCCCTCCCTCTCCCTCTCCCTCTCCCTCTACCCCTGTCTCAGCCTCTATCTCTGCCTCTCCATCTGCCTCTGCCTCTCCTTCTGCCCCTGCCTCTCCCTCTGCCCCCCCCTGTGCCTCTATATCTGCCTCAGTCCATCCCTCTGCCTCTGCTTCTGCTCCTACCTCCACCCCAACCGCTTCCTGCAGCATAGCTTCTTCGGCTGCTTGAACTTTGGTCGCTGTCTCTGCTTCCGCACCAGCTGCTACGCCTGCTGCTGTTGCGACTTCCTCTCCCCCTGCTTCTTCCTCTGCCTCTCCCTCTGCTTCTCCCTCTGCCTCCACCTCAGCCTCTCCCTCTAGCATAGCTTCCGCATCTACTATTACTTCTGCCTCTACAAGCGCTGCTACTGCTACGCCTGCTGCTGCATCTGCTGCTGTTGCGGTTTCTACTGCCACTGCTTCTCCCTCTGCCTCTACCCCAGCCTCTCCCTCTAGCATAGCTTCTCCGTCTGCTCTTACTTCTGCCTCACCATCTGCTGGAAACTCATATTCTTCTGCTCCTGCTTGTGCTTCAGCCTCCACCCCAGCCTCTCCTAGCCGCACAGCTTCCTCGTCTGCTGCTAAGTCAGCTTCTTCTGCTTCTGCTTCTGTTCCCTCCTCTCCTCTCTCCATTCCCATTTCTGCTTCAGCCTCAGCTCCTGCTGCTACCACTGCCTCAATTTCTGCTCCTGCTTCATATTCTGCTGCTTCTGCAGCTTCCTCCGCCTCTATTGCAGCTCCTACCGCTGCTAACTCTGCTTCGAGCTTTACACCTGCTTCCGATTCGCCTACTCCTGCTGTTAACTCTGTTTGCAAATCTACTCCTGCTTCTACTTTTCCTCCTCCTACTATCGCCAACTCTGCTCCTGCTTCTAACTCCCAATCTGTTGCCTCTGCACCTACTTCGTCCCCCAAGTCTGCTCCTGCTTCAAACTCCACTGCTCGGCCTGCTAACTCTGCCTCCAACTCTTCTCCTGCTTCTGTTTCTGCTGCTTCTCCACCCACTTCTGACCCCAACGTGTCCCCTGCAGCTACTTTAACTTCAGCTTCTCCTTCTGCTTCACCTTCTGCTTCTCCTTCTACCTCTCCCACAAGATCGGTTGCTGCCACTTCTCCTGCTTCTGCTATGAACTCTGTTTCTAGCCCTGCTCCTGCTTCTGATCCTGCTGTCTCTTCACCTACTTGTGATTCCAATGCTGTCCCTACAGCTACTTTAGCTTCAGTTTCGCCCGCCTCTGCTTCTATCTCTGCTTGAAGACCGGTTGATGCCTCAGCTGCTGGATCTATTGCTGTATTTGCCACAATGTCAACTGCCACATCAGCTGCCGTCACATCAACTCCCACATGAGCTGTTGCCACGTCAGCTGCCCCTTCCATCACTGCTGCCACTTCCTCTGCAGCGACATCTTCAAGAACATTCCCGCTTTCACTGTGCCAGCTCACTTCTTTCTCCCTTCCCTGCTCTACCTCCTTCTGTTCATCCTCTTGCTCCTGCTCTAGCTCCCTCTTTTCCTCCTCTTCATCCTCCTCCTCCTCTTCCTCCTCTCCGTGTTTCCCTCTCTTCCATTCCCTCACCTCACCACTCTCGTCATCCGCTTGAGGGGTCTTGGGAGCTTCAAACGCACCCCCTAGCTCCTCCATAAACCCTACACCCCCCATAAACCTTGAACCGTTTATAAGCCCTTCACTAGCAGCCGCACCAGTAACACCAGCTACAACCATGCCAGCAGCCGCAGTAGCTGCACCAGTAACACCAGCAACCGCAGCAGCAACAGCTACAGCAGAAGCAGCAGTCGCAGTAACACCAGCAGCCGCAGCAACAGCAGTTACAGCAGCAGCAGGACCAGCAGCACTAGTGAGAAGCAGATGAACAGCATTACCACCAGCAGCAGCAGCAGCAGCAGCATCTTGTGGCGGCAGCGGCGGCGGCTCAGAGTCTATCACAGAAGCATCCATCACTGCATGACACGACTCCCACTCCACCTCATCCGAAGCAGCTGCTTCAGTCACATCACTCGCCACATCTTCCTCTTCCTCCTCCTCCCCTCCCCCCTCTCCCCCATCCCCTTCCTCGTCTAGGTCCCCACCCTCACTCTCCTCCTCTCTCTCCCTCCCTTGCTTGACACTTGTCCGCCCGCCCCTCCCCTCCCACACCTCCTCGTATCCGACCCAATCCACATCTAAGACTTCTGCCTCCTCCTCCTCCTCCTCTTCCTCTTCCTCCTCCATCTCCTCCCCTTCCTCCGCCTCCTCTTCTCCCACCTCCTCATGTTGCTCTGCAAAAACCTGCTCACCCTGAGCCTGCTGCTGCTGCTGCTGCTGCTGCCCATCTCCCTGCTGCTGCTCCTGTTCCTCCTGCATCTGCTGTTCCTCCTGCTTCTCCTGCCCCTCCTGCTGCTCCTGCCTCTGCTGCTGTCTCTCGCCCTGCTGCTGCTCCTCTCCGCCCTGCCGCTGCTCCAGTTCCTCCTCCTGCAGCATTTGGCCTTCCTGCTCCTGCCGCCCCTCTTGCTGCTGCTCCTGCTCCTCTTCCTGCAGCACCGGCTGCTTCCGTTCCTCTTGCTCCTCCTGCTGCTGCTCCTCTACCTCCTCCTCCTCCTGTCGCTCCTGTCGCCTCTCCTGCGCCTCCTGCTCCTGTTTCTCTTCCTTCTCCTCCTCCTGTCGCTCCTGCCACTTCTCTTGCTCCTGTGTCTTTACCTCCTCCTGCTGCTCCGAATGTACCTTATGCTGTGCCTGCCCATCTCTTCCCCACACCATCTCCTCCACTTTCTCCTCCTCCTCCGCATGCTCCTCCTTCTCTTCCTTCTCCTCCTCTTCCCTCTCCTCCTCTTCCTTCTCCTGCTTCTCCTCCTTCTCCTCCTCCTGCTTCTCAACTTTCTCCTCCTCCTGCTTCTCCCTAGCTCTCATCTGACTACCTACAGCTGTCCCCTCCTCCTCTTCCTTCCCAACTCCCCTTCCCGTTCCCTGCATTTCCCCCACTGCCGCGCTTGCACTTAGGTAAGTGCCAGGGCCATTACGCTGTGCCCATGCTTTGTAAAACGAGAAAACATCCACAGGGGTGTGGGATAGGGGAGGCGGGGAGAAAGGAGGGGAGGCGGTAGGGGAGGAGGTGGGGAAAGAGGAGGGAAGCGAGGGTGGGAGCGAAGAGGGGAGAGAGGAGGGGAGCGAGGAGGGAAGGGAAGACGGGAAGGAGGACGGAGCAGAGGAAGGAAAGGAGGCTGGGAGGGTGGAGGGGAAGGAGGAAAGGGAGGATGGAAGAGAGGATGGAAGGGAGGAAGGGAGAGTAGAGGGAGGAGCAAAGGTCGCTTCTGCAACAGGCCACATCTCTATACAGGCGCTAGGAGAAGGGAAGGAAGGGGAAGGCAAAGGAGGGCAGGGGAGAGACTGAGAAGAGAGGGGAGAGGATGAGAAGCATGCGAAGGGGGATGGGAAGGAGGAGAGAGACGGAGACAAACTTTCTTCCTCTGCTGCCTCTCCTGCTGCAACATCCACTTCTGCCACATCAACTGCCCTCTCAACCCCGTCAGCCTCAGGTGCAGCCACGTCAGCTGCATTGCTCGCCACGTCAGCTGCTTTGCTCGCCATGTCAGCTGCTCTGCTGGCCACGTCGGCTGCTCTGCTGGCAACATCTGCCCCAAAGAGTGCCATACCAGCAGTCAGCTTCAACTTACTGCCCTTATCCAGTGCCACGGATTGCAGATGATGCATCCGAATGGTAACATCTGACTCAGGGAGTGTCACATTAGCGGGCCTCACCTCTTTACCCTTACCCAGAGCCACGGATTGCAGGTGATACATCTGGTTGGTAACACCGTAACTTGGATCAAAAGCGACTGCAGCAGCTGCCACACTTGCGAATTCCTGGTGTAGCTGAAAGGTGACAGGTGGCTTGTGAGACTGAGATTCCGGAACCTGCTGTTGAGTCGGCTCAACAAAAGACGTGCATTCCTGCTGGCGCCCAGAGGTCATAGGTGGCTTGTGCGACTCTACAGCCTGCACTTGCAGCACAGGCGGCTTGTAAGACTGGGATTCTGAAACCTGCTGTTGAGTCGGATCAACAAAAGCTGTGCATTCCTGCTGTTGAGTAGGCTCAGCTGCTGAGCATCTTTGGTCAAAGGTCCCAGGTGCCTTGTGGGATGGCTTTTGAGTCGACTCATGAGTTGGCTTTTGAGTCGACTCAAAAGTCACCTCAGCTGCTGAGCATCTTTGGTCAAAGGTCCCAGGTGCCTTGTGGGATTCCGGAGTTGGCAAAGGCAAAGACAGAAAAACGGTGGCCTCCTGTTTCCCAGAACCCCTCATTTTTGTCCCTTGTGCTACCGCTGCTTCTTCTGTTGACTCTGCCTCCTCTGCTGCCTCTGTCCCCTCTCCCCGTTCTGCCCCCTTTGCAACCTCTGCCTCCTCTGCTCCCTCTGCCCTCCCTGCCCCCTCTGCCCCCTCTCCTGCCTCTGCCCCCTCTGCTGTCTCTGCTTCTTCTCCTGCTCGTTCCTCTGCTGCCGCTCTCTTTTCAGCCTCACTGTCTGCTGCCTCCCTCTCTGCTGCCTCTCTGTTTGCTGCCTCTCTCCCTGCTGCCTCTCGCTCTGCTGCATCTCTTTCTGCTGCATCTCTTTCTGCTGCATCTCTTTCTGCTGCCTCTCTCTCTACTGCCTCCCTCTCTGCTGCCTCCCTCTCTGCAGCCTCCCTTTCTGCTGCCTCTCTCTCTGCTGTCTCCCTTTCTGCTGCCTCTCTCTCTGCTGCCTCTCTTTCTGCTGCCTCTCGTTCTGCGGCCACCCTTTCTGCTGCTTCTCCCTCTCCTGCTTCACCAGCAGTGATTTCGTTCCTCGCAGCAGCAGCATGACTACTACTAGTGGCAACACCTAGATTGACATTCCCACGAAGATGCCACGTCAGCTGCTCCTGTTCCTGATCCATAGGTACTTCCACCACGTCATCATCCTCACTGTTTAGAGCCTCCACGTCATCACCACGATTCTCAGCAATAGCCATGTCATCAGCTGATGCGAAGTCAGTAACCTCTTCCTCTTCCTGCGTTTTCTCCTCTTCCTCCTCCACCCCCTCTTCCTTCTCCTCTTCCTTCTTCTCCAACTCCTCCATCTCCACATTTAGTCCCTCCTCTTCAACCTCCTCTTTTTCCTCCTTCTGTTTTTCCTCTTCCACCTCTTCCACCTTATCCTCGTCCATACACATTATCTCCTCCACCTCTCCATCCACTTCCTCCTCCTCCACTTCTTCCTCCTCGCCCTCTCTTCTTACACCACCCTCTCGTTCCCCACTTCCTGCCCCTTTCTCCCTCTTACTCTCCCCTAGTACAGTCAACTCCATAACTCTCCTTTCCTCCTTTTGCCCCTCGTCCCTCCCCCCCTCCTCTTGCTCCTCTTCCCTCTCTCTCTTCCTCGCCTCCTCCTCTCCTCCATGCACTCCCTTCTGCTCTTCCCCTTCGTCTTGCTCCTCCCCTCTCATTTCCTCCTCCTCTTCCTTCTCCTCCTTCCCGTCCCTCTCCTCATCCTCCGCCTGACGCACTTCCCGCTTCTCCCCGCCCTCCTCTGCTTCCTCTCCCTCCAACCCCCCGGTTTCTTTCCCAAACTCTTCCCCGTTCTCCCCTGCATGTCCACCAATTCCCCCTGCATCCCCACCCGCTTCCCCAGCATCTTTATCCCCCTGCGCCCCATCTCCGCCCCCCTGCGCCCCTGCTGTCTCAACAAGCGCCCAAGGGGGGCTAGAGTGCGGGGGCACTCGGGTGGGGGGAGCGGGGGAAGGGGGGACTTGGGGGGAGAGGGGGTCGGGGGAAGAGAGGGGGAGAGTTACAGCACTGGGGGAGGCAACCATGTTAGGGGGAGGGGAGGTGGTAACTGTGAGAGGGGAGGTGGCAACTGTGTGGGGGGAGGTGGTGACTGTGTGGAGGGAGGTGGTAACTGTATGGGGGGAGGTGGCAACTGTATGCAGGGAGGTGGCAACTGCGTGGGAGAGGGTGACAACTGTTTGGGGGGAGGTGGCAACTGTGTGTGGGTCATTATTTAGGGCGAACTCGGCAGGAGCAAAAGGTGACGCTGCAAACATGGGAGAATTAACTGGTACCTGTGGAACAGAAGAGACAAAAGGTGCCAGTGGTGCAGCAGAAGCGACAACAGAAGAAACAGCTGAGCGCACAACATAAGCATCAGGTTTGTTTCCCAAAGCAGCCCGTAATGATTGCGCACCCACCTGACTATCCACTTGACCACCCACATCCACCTGAAACGGCACCTGAGCAGGTGAGGAGTGTGCCCCTGCTGCTTCTTTCCCTCCTGCTTCTCCCCCTGCTGCTTCTGCCCCCGCTGCTTCCCCACCTGCTGTTTCTGCCCCTGCTGCTCCTGCCCCTGCACTTGAACCAAGGGCCTCTGAAGTTACACCCGTTACAGTCACAGCCACAGCACCATTAGCAACCCCCTGTGCCCCGTCCACACCTGCTACAGTCACATTCACAGAAGTCACATCTGTATCTGCCCCCTGTGCTACAGCCACACCTGCTAGAGTCACATTCACAGCAGCTGCAGCCATGACAGCCCCCTGTGCCACAATCACATCATGAGAAGCAGAAACCTGCATTCCAGTCACATTTAATAAGGGCACACCTGTGACAGCCTCCTGTGCCATAGTCACATCATGAGAAGCAGCAGTACCTGGCAATTCAGTCACACTTGTAGCAGCGGCACCATTCGCCACAGCCACACCCGGAACAACCACATCTGCCCAAGGCAAGTCAAGAAAATCCGCCTCCCCAAACCCAAAATCCCCTAAATCTTGACCCAAACACCCTTCCAAATCCCCATCAAAACCCTCTCCCAAACCCTCTCCTAAACCACTCAATTCGCCCTCAAAATCTCCATCCAGCTCTTCAGTAGCGGCAAGCAGACACCTCTCGTCTTCAGCACTCCACTGCACCTCCGCCCACCTACCTGCTGCAGTCCAAGCCAGAGAATCCGCTTCCTGAGGTGTCTCAAAAGGCTTCACATCAGCCCTCTTACCCGCACCTGTCCAAGCCTTCACATCTGCCTTCTCATGCGCTGCAAGAGCATTCAGTTCACCCAGCCTATCCCCATCTGTCCAGTCCCGAGAATCCGCGCCTCTACCCTCCTGGATGGCAGAATCGGCACCCCTACCGCCCTCATTGACAGAGTTGACGGCTGTGACGCCCTGAATTTGAGTCGACTCAAAGGCACCCCTACCGCCCTCATTGACAGAGTTGACGGCTGTGACGCCCTGAACGGCAGAACTGATGTCTCCCCACCTGTCTCTGATACCTTGGCCAGAAAACTCCGCGCCTCTGATACCACTGCCACGACCATTCACGTCTCGAACGCCCCCGTCACCACCACCACCACCAGTGAAGTTTCTACTGTCCACATTACCACTAGTCGGGCCTCTGACAGAGTCATCATTGTGTAACCCTAAACCATTGACAACAGTGCTTCCCGAATCCACAGGTTTAATGTTTGCATTGCCACTACCACCAGCACCACCGCCACCACAACCAGCAGCAGCAACCACATCAGCACAGTTATCAGCACCTGTAATGCCTGTGCCACCGCCGCCGTCCCCACCACCACCACTGCCGCCACCACCACCACCAGCAGCAGCTGCTGCATTGGTCGCATCTTGAACGTTTGTGCCACGATCACCAGCAGCAGTAGTATCGGCACCTTTCAAACCTGTGCCAACACCACCACCAGAGTCATCCGCATATGTGGTGGCCATGGCACCAGAAACACCACCACCACTACCACCAGCACCCCCAACATCTCTTCCCCCGACGCCCACTCCCACAACACCGTCAACACCAACAACCCCTCCCCCAACGCCCCCAACGCCCCCAACGCCCCCAGCGTCCCCAGCACCACCACTTCTAAAGCCCACATCTGCAACAGCAGCGTATCTCACTCCTACCTCCCGAACCCTAGCCTCTGCTGCCTTTTCCGCCTTCACTCTCTCCTTCAGATTCACCTGCTTCAATCCCAGGCGCCTCTGAGGTGGCGAGGTCGACGCCTGAGCTGCCGAAACGGAGGTCTGACCTGGCAGGTGAGCCGCTGACGTGGACACTCTACCGCTGATGAGCTCAACGGTCCCGACACGGTTCGACTTTGCCGCCCGGGGAAGCTTGGCGCGTGGAGGTAGCGGGACAGCAGCGCGTGCTCTTGATCGTGATGACGTGGCATCACCAGCTGGTGCCACGTCAGCTGCCGACTCAGCAGCTGGCCCAGAGCCGTCAGAGAGTGACGTGTGATCGCATGATGCCAGGTCAGCAATAGCGGGGGGGCAAGACTGGATTCGACTGTAAGTATTGATGCTTCTTTTGCTCACTCTCTCTACCTTCACTTCAGCTACAGGCCTCCCTGCTTCTGCCACAGCAGTTGTAGCCGCTACAGCTTCCCTTGCTGCTGCTCCTGATGCGGCGGCAGCAGCAGCAGCAGCAGCAGCAGCAGCTCTCCTTGACCGGGTGAGAAGTTGCGGAGGGGCGACAGGCAGAGAGGGAGGTGACTGCACCAGGTGTGATACTATCGATCCCTCTACCGACCTACAAACTTTGACAGAAACAGGTGATGGGATTTGGGAAAACGAAGCTTGCTGCTGCTGCTGCTGTTGCTGTGGCTGCTGCAGGTGTGGCTGCTGCGGTTGTTGCTGTTGCTGCTGCTGCTGCTGCTGCTGTTGTCGTTGCTGCTGTTGCTGTTGTTGCGGTTGTTGCTCCTGTTGCTGCTGTCGTTGCTGCTGTTGCTGCTGTTGTTGCTGTTGCTGCTGCTGTTGCTGCTGTCGTTGCTGCTGTTGCTGCTGTTGCTCCGGCTGTGACTGCTGTTGCTGTTGTTGCAGCTGTTGCTGCTGCGGCTGCTGCTGCTGTTGCTGCTGTTCCTGTCGCTGCTGCTGCTGCTGTTGTTGCTGCTGTGACTGTTGTTGCTGTTGCTGTTGCTGCTGCTGTTGTTGCTGATGCTGTTGCTGCGGCTGTTGTTGCTGCGGCTGTTGTTCTTGTTGCTGCTGCTGCTGCTGTCGCTGCTGCTCCAGCTGTTGCTGCTGCTGCATGCGCCGTGCCAGAACCTTTTCAATCAATTCAAGAGGCACCTGCTGTAGCTGCTCGATCTGATGCGGCGGCTGTTGGAACACCACCGGAAACGACTCACATGGCAATTGCTGCTGCTGCAACTGTTGCTGCGTGGTGTGTGTTACAGCATTTGAGATGCGTTCACGAGGCACTTGCTGCAGCTGGTCTATCTGATGCGGCGGCTGTTGGAACACCACAGGAAACGACTCACATGGCAATTGCTGCTGCTGCTGCTGCAGCGCCGGGAGAGGCACGACATTCGAAATCGGTGATTGCTCCATCTGGTGCGGGGGCTGTTGAAACACAACAGGAAACGACTCACACTGTTGTTGCTGCTTCTGTGTGGGGAGTGATACAGCGTTCGAAATCCGTTCAGCAGGCAGCTTCTGTGGCTGATCTGCCTGGTGCAAGGGATGATGCAACACCACAGGGAACGACTCACACGGCTGTTGCTGCTGCTGTTGCATGGGGTGTGCAACAGCAATCCGTTCACGAGGCAGCTGCTGTAGCTGGTTTATCTTCTGCGTGGGCTGTTGAAACGGCACTCGGAATGACTCACACGGCTGTTGCTGCTGCTGCTGCGTGGGGAGTGATGCAGCATTCGAGACTTTCTCAAGAGGCACCTGCGGCAGGGGCTGTGAAAATACCGTTGAGGCTGCCAGTACAGGCAGTAGCTGCTGCGTTGGGTGTGAAGCGGCAGTTGCAGCACTGCCTGAGTTAAAAGGGTGTTGCGGTTGCTGCCCGCTCAGCGGCAGAACGTTTGGGATTGATTCAAGCGGCATCGGATGCGCAGCCTGTGGGAACACGGTGGGGAATGATGACTGACAGGGCAATTGCTCCTGCTGCTGTGTGGGGTGGGTCAGAACGGTTGAAATCGGTTTGAGGGGCATCTGTTGGGCAGCCTGTGGGAACACGGTGAGGAATGATGACTGACAGGGCAGTTGATGCTGCTCTGTGGGGTGCGAAACGGCAGATGCAGCAGTGTTTGACTGGAAAGGCGCTTGCTGCGGTGTGGGGTGTGACAAAACGGTCGGAATCGGTTCAAAAGGCACTTGCTGCGGGAACTGTGAGGAAGCCTTCTGCTCAGGGGAATGCAAAAGAGCTTTCTGTTGGGAGAGGTGTGAGATTAGCTTTTGTTTGGGGGAGTGTGGGAGGGGTGGTTGTTGCTGGGATTGAGGCAGCTGTGAAAGGTGCTGGGGGGGTTGTGACAGAGGTTGTTGCTGCGGCAGTTGTGAAAGGTGCTGGGGGGGATGTGAATGGGTCTTTTGGTGGGGGGAGTGTGAAGGGCGCCATGCCATTGGAGGGAGCACCAAGCGCGTGCATGTGGGCGGCTGGGAAAAGGCAGGGAGTGGGGCAGGGAGAAGGGCAGAAAAAGCGGCAGGAATAGGAAGAGAAGCAGGGACAGGGAGAGGGGCAATGACAGGGACAGGGGCAGGGGAAGGGGCAGCGACAGGGGCAGTGAGTGACTGTACCAGCTGCAGGGACGGATGTTGCTGCTGCTGCTGCGCCTGCTGCTGCTGTTGATGGAGCACCTGTTGCTGCAGCAGCTGCCCTCCCAGGTGCTGCCGATGCGGCTGCTGATGCTGTTGCTGATGCAATATCACCAGCTGCTGCTGCTTTTGATACAGCACCAACTGTTGCGGCTGCTGCTGCGGCTGCTGCTGCGGCTGCGGCTGCTGCTGCGGCTGCGGCTGCTGCTGCTGCGGCTGCTGCTGCGGCTGCTGCGGCTGCTGCTGCTGCGGCTGCTGCTGCTGCTGCGGCTGCTGCTGCTGCTGCGGCTGCTGCTGCTGCTGCGGCTGCTGCTGCTGCTGCTGCTGCTGCTGCTGCTGCTGCTGCTGCTGCTGCTGCTGCTGCTGCTGCTGCTGCTGCTGCTGCTGCTGCTGCTGCTGCTGCTGCTGCTGCTGCTGCTGCTGCTGCTGCTGCTGCTGCTGCTGCTGCTGCTGCTGCTGCTGCTGCTGCTGCTGCTGCTGCTGCTGCTGCTGCTGCTGCTGCTGCTGCTGCTGCTGCTGCTGCTGCTGCTGCTGCTGCTGCTGCTGCTGCTGCTGCTGCTGCTGCTGCTGCTGCTGCTGCTGCTGCTGCTGCTGCTGCTGCTGCTGCTGCTGCTGCTGCTGCTGCTGCTGCTGCTGCTGCTGCTGCTGCTGCTGCGGCTGCTGCTGCCCTTGCTCGAAATGGGTCGATCTGTGAGGCGCCTCAAAAACAGGCTGCTGGTGATTGCGAATCAGCTGCAGCTGCTGCCCCTGTTCAGACTGGGTCGATACAGCTGTAGCCGCCATCACTGCCGCTACGCCCACAGGAGCAACTCCTCCCGCCACTCGCCCATAAACCAGATCACCCCAAAACCTGTCTGACTGCAACACATCGGACGCAGGAAGATTCAGGAGGTCTGATTCTGCCTTGACTGGGCATGGTGTGCGTGCTACTGTCACTGCCTGATCTGCAGCAGTAGCTAGGTTCCCCCTTGCTTGAGCAGCCACCGCAGAACTACTGACTGCTGCCCCACCTGCCATTGCTAATGGCTCTGCTCTGCCTGTAATGCCCTTGTGGCTAATGATACCTTTGCCAGGAATTCCATCCTCGTTAGTAGCAGGCTCCACTATTCCAACCGCACTTTCCTCCCTGGGTCCAGGAAAAACAGCCTCGGAATATGCTACAGAACTGACAACAGAGCTAGGAATAGCGTTGCTAGAGGCAAACGGAGCAGGTAGTGCAGGCGATAGAGTTGTTGCGGATGGTAGCGCAGGAGAAAGTGGAGCAGACGCGAGAGGAGGAGAGACACGAAGAGTAGGAAGAGGCTGATGTGGAGAAGGACGAAGGGATGACAGGTGAGAATTTGAATTTGGAGCAGAAGGTGACAGACAAGGAATGGAAGGAGGAACAGAAGGAGGAGGGTTAGGAAGAGGAGGAGGATGTGGAGAACGATGAGAAGGTAGCACAAAATCCACAAAGGCGGCAGCAGCGGCAGCAGTGGCAGCAGCAGCAGCAGGAGGAAGGGTAGCGGGAGGAGGAGAAAAATCAGCAGCAACAGCAGCAGAAGCACTCGGAGCACTTGGGTGCACCACAACCAGCTTCTGTTGAGCTATCTCCTCAATAAAATCTTCCTCTCCCAACGCTGTCTCCAAAACCTCCTCGCCCAATGCTACTTCCTCCCTTAACGTCTCGTCCCTTAACCCTTCCCTTCCAGACACACCCTCGCCGTTCGACTCTTCTTTCAACTCCTCTTTTTCCCAATGCCTTGCACTAAAGCCCTCCTCCTCGTGGGTTTTGACTTCACCAACATTGCCTTCCATCGCTCCCTCTCCTGCTTCTCCCTCTGATATTTCCCCTTCTGCTTTTTCCTCCGCTGCTGCTCCCCCTTTTGTTGTTTTCTCCATTGTCGACCCCACCTCTGCTGTTTCCCTCGCTCCTGCTTCCCCCTCTGCTGTCACTCCTGCAGCCACATCACCTACTAGGGCCTCCCTCTCCTCCACCAGGTCTTCTTCCCTGCACTCCAACCAGCCCGCGAGGCAGCCCACATCCTTCCCCTCTTCGCATTCCATTCCGCTATCCCTCCCTGTATCCCCATCTGTCAGGCCCTCATCCCTCTCTACCCCCTCCTTCCAGTGAGACCTCTCAGTGCCAGCCTTGTGGGAGACAGACGCATTCTGAGACAATCCAAATCTCTGCCCCTCGTCCCTCTCAACCATTTCGTGGGGCACAGACGCCCCTGACGTGTCCTCCCTCGAAACAGGCTCTGCAGCTTGGCTCCCACTCGCTGTGACTTGAAAGGTCGCGGGTTCAAGTCCCGCTGTGCTCGATAAAGCAGCTGTTTCAGTCTGTGCTGCCACACCTGGGCAAGTGGAAACCCCTGCAAAAGCTGCTAACGTAGCAGCTTTTCCCGGTGATAACTCTGCCTGTGCTGCTGCTAATGTAGCAGAAGTTTCTGCCAACACAACTGCCTGTGCTGCAGGGTTGGCACCCGTCGCACCTGAAATCACCAACCCCACAACTGCTTCTGCCGCTGCCGCTGCTACTTGTGGCGCTGCTAGTGCCACTGCTGCGGCTGCTGCTGGTGCTGCTGGTGGTGCTGCTGCTGCCCCTGGAACGCGCTTGCTGCTGACTGCAGCTGCCGTTCGCGCACACCCTGCTGCACCTGTCCTTGACTCACTACCATCCAGGGCAGCAGTTACACCGGAGCTTAGCGCCCTGTCCAACATAACTCCTGCACCTGCCCTTGGCTCCTTGGCGTCTAGGAAAGCTGCTGCATCTGAGGTTAGCGCCCTGTCCAACATAGCTCCTGCACCTGCCCTTGGCTCCTTGGCATCTAGGAGCGCTGTTGCATCTGAGGTTAGCACCCTGCTATCCAAGAGAGGTGCTGCACCTGCCCTTAGATCCTCGCCTTCCAGGGGTGCTGCTGCAGCGGCACTAGATGCAGGAACAGCAGTAGCAGAAGCGGGAGCAGCAGCACCAGCATGCATAGCAGGCTCATCAGGTACAGAAATGTAATGGGGCGCAGCAGCAGTAGATGCGTCTGCTGCGAGATCTGCAATCCTCTTCACCAGAGCCACTCTCTTAACCCCGCAAACCACCCCATGCTTCTCAATGCTTTTCCCCCTGCTGCTGCTGCTCTCCCTCCTTCGCCCGTTTCCATCACCTGAGGCAGCTGCAGCAGCTGTTAGAGCAGCAGCAGACTCAGGAGCAACCGCAGAAGCAGTGGGAAGAGCAATAACAGGAGCAGCAGAGGCAGCAGGAGGAGGAAGAACAGCAGGAGCAGCAGCGGGAGGAGCAACAGAAGCGGCAACAGGAGCAGCAGCAGGCACAGCAGGAGCAGGAGCAGCAGCAGCAACGCTCCTCCTCACTAACCCCAAGGCTGCAAGTGCAGATACGGCTTTAGGTAAAGCCCCACCTGCACCTTCACCTGCCCGGGCCCCTAAAAGATCTGCCATTGCCAAAACCGCCTCTCCTTGTAACTCTGCTTCTGCTTCTGCCTCTGCTTCTGCCACTTCTTCTGCATCTGTTTCTAGTTCTCCCTCTGCTTGCTCGGCTGCTGGTGGTAGCTCTATAGGCCCTGGTGATGGCTCACGTGTAACCATGTAACCCGCTTTTGACAGGGGACCAGGTGCTGCTGCCGTCTCTAGTGGTTCTGGCTTGGCGCCTGCTACACTGGGTTCTGACGGGAAGGCAGCATGCACAGGAAGGGCAGTGCAGCGGCCAGGTGGGGAGGCTGTAGCAGCTGTAGCAGCATCAAGACAATCAGCAACCCCAGCGCCGGCCCCGGCAGCAGCAACACCAGCGCCAGCAGAAGCAGCAGCTGCTGCAGCAGCAGATGACAGCTGCAGGTCCGCACTCAGGCGGCGAGCAGCGAGCTTCCCAGACCGAGAGGGAGAGAGAGGAGACTTGTTGGTATGATCAAGAGACAGGGGAGCGGGCGCGCGGTGGGAGGGGCGAGGGGAGGTGGGCGAGGAGAGGGAGGAGAGGGAGGTGGATCCGGGGGGGCGAGGGGAGACGCGGAGGTAGAAAAGCATGTAGGCCTTGTCTGCTAGGACGTCTGGGAGGGCGACTGGGGAGACGGAGCAGTCGTCACAGCAGGACCACTTGCCCGTGGAGTCCTGGGGGGAAGGGAACGGATGTAGCAAGCGGGGAGTTATAGAATAAGAGGGTGCAAGCCGTGTTGCCTGATAGGGAGGCCACTGGGGAGACGGAGCAGTCGTCACAGCAGGACCACCTGCCCGTGGAGTCCTGGGGGGAAGGGAACGGATGTAGCAAGCGGGGAGTTATAGAATAAGAGGGTGCAAGCCGTGTTGCCTGATAGGGAGGCCACTGGGGAGACGGAGCAGTCGTCACAGCAGGACCACCTGCCCGTGGAGTCCTGGGGGGAAGGGAACGGATGTAGCAAGCGGGGAGTTATAGAATAAGAGGGTGCAAGCCGTGTTGCCTGATAGGGAGGCCACTGGGGAGACGGAGCAGTCGTCACAGCAGGACCACTTGCCCGTGGAGTCCTGGGGGGGGAAGGGAGGGAGTTGTGGGGAGGAGGATGGGGGGTGGAGGGGAGGGAAGAAGGGGGGGGGGGAACGACGGGAGGAGGGGAGGAGGCAGAACAGCACGCAGGCCGTGTTGCCTGATAGGTAAGGCAAAGGGAGACAGAGTAGCACAACCACTCGCCTCGACATAATCTCCACGTACATCCACATAAGCATAGCAGTATACCTGCCTTGATATATGTATAGCAGTATACCTGCCTTGATATATGCATAGCAGTATACCTGCCTTGATATATGCATAGCAGTATACCTGCCTTGATATATGCATAGCAGTATACCTGCCTTAATATATGCATAGCAGTATACCTGCCTTGATATATGCATAGCAGTATACCTGCCTTGATATATGCATAGCAGTATACCTGCCTTGATATATGCATAGTAATGCCCCGAGTCTTAGGAAAAGGTGACAATTGAGTCGACTAAGAAGTCACCTTGACTTGACACAAGCATAGCAGTGTACGGTGTACCTACCTTGACATATGCATAGTAATGGCCCGAGTCTTGAGACGACCCTGCATGCACCACCACTCCAAAGAGCGTGTACTCTGGCTGGGTATCCTGAGAGGGATGATAGCAGGGAGCGGGGTGGCGGGGTGGGTAGAAAAGGCAGCATGTGAGCAACGAGCAGATGTATTTTTTAAATAGAGTGTACTCTAACTGGAAACCCTGAGAACAATGATCGCAGGGAATAGGGAAGCGGGGGAGAATAGAGTTGGCAGCAGGTAACACGCGAATGGGTGTTACAAAGAATGTACTCTCATGTTTGGACCCACCTTGCTACAGCCGCTCATGTGCTTGGACCCACCTTGCTACAGCCGCTCATGTGCTTGGACCCACCTTGCTACAGCCGCTCATGTGCTTGGACCCACCTTGCTACAGCCGCTCATGTGCTTGGACCCACCTTGCTACAGCCGCTCATGTGCTTGGACCCACCTTGCTACAGCCGCTCATGTGCTTGGACCCACCTTGCTACAGCCGCTCATGTGCTTGGACCCACCTTGCTACAGCCGCTCATGTGCTTGGACCCACCTTGCTACAGGCGCTCATCGCTTGAACCCACCTTGCTACAGCCGCTCATGTGGCCTTTCAACGAGACGCGCTCCTCGAATCGAATGTGCCGGTCAATCTTCCCTCCAAACACGTTCTCAAACCTCTGCGGTCAGGAGGGCAAGGATGCAAGCACGTAAGCAAGCAAGCACACAAACATCAAGAATGCAGGCAAAAAGTTATCAAGACAAGAACGCAGGGCGCATGAAAGATCATCAGAGCCTTTCGCACAGCAGACAGAACAGGCAGGTTACAGCGTGGGAGGTGCAGCTAAGCCTACAATCCAGTTTGTACCTTGAACTGAATGACAAGAATGTTGGGCGCATGAAAGATCGTCAGCGCCTTCCGCGCAGCAGACAGCCGGTTGCATTTATCACACCGGTATCTATTCTCCCCATCCAGCACCTCCGGCTTGGTGAACCTATTAAGTGCGTCTTTTAGCGACCCTAGCCTGTGCACGTCCAAACTCAAGTCCAGAATCGCATCCCTCTTATTAGACTCCCCGTCACACTGCAAGCACCGAATCTGGCTCTGCAGTATCCCGCCAAAAATTTCTTTCACTATGGTATGTGGCTCATCCTGACCACCTGAACACCCCCCTGCCCCTCCCTCTCCTGCTCCGCCCCCACCTGCGCCTCCTCCCCCTGTTCCCCTGGGGCTTCCCTTGCTTCTACCAGGAGATTTTCCAGGTGAGCCAATCTGATCCGCTGCTGCCCCTGCTGCCGCCCCTCCCGCCCCTGCCCCCCGCCCTTTCCCCCTTCCGGGCAAGACATGCAGCCCTACCCGCAGCGCAACCCCCCTTCCCTTCCGCGCCCTGCCTCCGCCCACTCCCCTCCCCGCCCCCGCCCCTGCTCCCGCATGCCCAAAACCCCCGTCCCTGTCCTCCTCTTCCTCCCCATCAGTGGCGAACCCTCGCCTTCTCAAGCTCATCCGTCTCCTAGGCAAACTCCCACCCCCGCTGCTGCTGCTACCCCCTGCTGCTACATCCGCCTCATCCGCTACAGCCGCTGCTGAGGATGATCCTGTGGCAGGCGCTGGTGCGGAAGCAGCAGACGGTTCAGGCACTTCTGCTACGTCCACGTCTACGTTTACGTCCACGTCTACGTCCATATCTGTGTTCTCCACAGGGTCCCCTAACTGAGGCACTAGAGATCCCTCACTGCCTGTCAATTGGCCCAACTGCATGCACTGCTGCTGGTCTGGGGCAAACTGCTGGGAGAACGGACCTCCCTCTGCTGATTCCCTACCGTTGTTTGCTCGGTCTAGGGATAATCTAGAGCTGCGCCTCGTGTGCATCTTCTGAACGCTGGCCCCCTCGTTTAGAGACATCCCTTCCACCAGCTGGTTCAGTGGACTCAAGGGCCCCGATTTAGTCACATCCGGACTGCCGTTCGGCCCACTAACAGTATTCCCAGCCGCAGAAGCAGCAGCAGCTGCGGCTGCAGCAACTACCTTTTTGTGCAGGGCTACACACGCTCTGTTACATGCTTCTATCGCGTATCGAAGCAGCTCATGGGCGTCCTCTTGCCGCCCGTGACTGAAACTCTTGGCAATGAGCTTTAAGCGGTTCACTACAACCCTAGGCGTGTCCCGGGCGGCCTCGAGAGTCAAAGAGCGGGCGATACGGCGCTCGAGAATGCAAAAGGGGCAGGACGCTGTTCCCCCAGGGTTCAAAAGTGCACCTGAGGAATGGGAGAGGTGGGAGGGAGTGAGAGGGGTTCAGAAGGACATGAAGGTCGTCTACAAGGAAGCAGAGGCATCTAAAAGAGCAGCTTTTGAGTCGACTCAAAAGCAGAGAGTGAGAGGGGTTTAGAAGGACATGAAGGTCGTCAACAAGGAAGCCGAGGCATCTAAAAGAGCAGCAGGAGACTTTTGAGTCGACTCAAAAGTCACCTCGGAAGCAGAGGCATCTAAAAGAGCAGCAGGAGACTCAAAAGTCTTCTCGGAAGCAGAGGCATCTAAAAGAGCAGCAGGAGCGCGGAAAGAAGACGTGAAGCAAAAGCTCAACTCAACTTAACGTCTGATTGTAACAACTGACGAGGTGCATTAATTATGGACTCAAAAAGATGAGACTTCACTTGAACTGACTGAATGCTCATCTGGACTGACTGAATGCTTATCTGGACTGACTGAATGCTCATCTGGACTGCCTGAATGCTCATCTGGGCTGACTGGATGCCATCTGGACTGACTGAGTGCTAAATTGACTGACTGAATGCTCATCTGGACTGAATGAATGCTCATCCGAACTGACTGAATGCTGACCTGGACTGAATGAATGCTCATCTGGGCTGACTGGATGCCATCTGGACTGACTGAGTGCTAAATTGACCGACTGAATGCTCATCTGGACTGAATGAATGCTCATCCGAACTGACTGAATGCTGATCTGAACTGGCTGAATGCCATCTTTTGACTGCCTAGTCTAATCTGAAGTGACTGAATGACACTGTAAACATTAAATGCGGATCTTAACTGGCTGAATGCTAATGTGAACGATGTGAATGCTAATGTGAACGTACTGCTAGCTAATCTGGACTGGCTGAATGCTAAACTGAATTGTCTAAATGTTGGTATGAACTGACTAGCGCCGTCTGAACGAGTGATGCTAATCTAAACGGGAAAAGGTCAACGAGTGCTGCTACTTCTTGTCTGCCAGATATCTATCCGAAATGCAAGAACGCTAACCTACGATGACTAATTGAGGAAAAAACTGGTTGAAGAATCCGAGCACGGTTCAGCTGGAAAACAAAAAAATCTTCTATCACTCTGCCTAACCTCTTGTGCGAGACTTCGCATCGAAAATCCTACACTGTTGCTGTTGCTGTTGCTGCACATCAATCCTGGCAAGTAATGTGTATCAGGCTGGAGCTAACGGTATTAGTGACACCAACAACGGAGAGAAACTCGATTGAATCATGCCATCAACGTATATCTCATCAGAAACTCACAGATCTTGGTGTGCTGCTGCTGCAGGCAGAAATTCGCGAGCGGCGGCGTGTACGTCAGGCATTGTAACACGCTGTTCAGGTAACACGTGTTACCTAGATTTCGCAACCCAGGTCCGACCTTCTGCGGCCTGATCCATCTAATCTGCAGCAACGGAACGAGGCAGATCTCATGGATACTACTTCCCACCGCTATAGTCACACGAGATCCAGGCGTAGGTCCGGGAATTACGGCCCGAACTTGAGGGAGCTTCGCTGGCTTTTCGTCCTCCTTATTCTCTGTGCTATGCACCAGCGTGCTCTGTTCTGTTACTGAAGCCGTCAATAACGAAGCTTCGTCCCTAAATTGATCCTCGACTTTCTGTACTCGGGAATCTGAGCCTCTCTTTCGCTGCTTCTGTGCGGAAGGACGGCCTGAAGTCGATTTATCTTTCCGTCCACTTTTTCCAGAATTCGCCATTTTTCTAACCAAAACGGCCTCGGGATAAAACAAACCGTCAGGAAACGTGGCGTATACGGTAATCGCCTGTGTGAAATGCGTCGGTTAAAACCTCATTAAAAACACCATTGGTGTCTAAACTGCCAAACCTTGATGGCAACAAAAATTAGCCGGAAATATTCCGTTATTCAGAAACAGGCCCGAAAAAATCGGCATGTTATCTGCTACGGTAAGCTTCCACGAAGGAAGGGGAACAAAAAAATAAAGATTTAAGCTTTTTGGGAGAGAAAAGAACTTGAACGAGAAGGAACAAAACCCCTGATAGTGGAATGCACTCAGAATATCTACGAACAATGGCTGTCAACTCCTAGCAGTGTAGAATCAGGGCATCGTAAGAGAGCGATGGAGGGGAAGGAGGTATGTAACGAATTTCGCAGGATTCCTGACGACCCGTAATCGTCGCACTAGAACGAATACACAGTGTGACGGCCAAGACACAACGACAGTCGCACGACCAGCGGTGTCGCAGGGGAACTGCATGGCACACAGAATGCAGGCCAGGTTCTGGTGGCTGGCGACAGCTGACGACCCCAAAGCGAGGAAGTGCGACGATTGGGCAGGCAGGTGCGACGCCAGCATGTGAGAAGAATCAGCAAGCAAAACTCCAAGGCTGCTGATGTCGCCCAAGACCTCGATCATGCCGAGCTGCCACCGTCCCGATGGATGATGAGGTCAGGCAGGTCCTCGCGAAAACTCGCTCATGTTTTCGCACACTAATCGATATGCCGTGGATTCGCCCAGATCCTGAAATCTCATCCGTTGCGCCTCAACCTCCTTGGCATCACCCTTCTGCCTCGGTCTGATTGGTAGACGCTGTTGGTGAGGCGATGTTCATGGGGCGAGACATCACACCTGAAAACTCCCCTCGTTTCCTCATCGACATCCTCACAACAACTCACGACTCCACTAAACTGAAGCACTTCGAAATGTTGTAACTCATGTACGGTACACCTATTTCACTATCATGTGTTTTGACTATCTATGCCTTTGAAGAGCATGCTCAACTGCCATGGCAAAAAAATCACGTGGTCGAATCGGCGGCGACTCAGCTAGGGCCTGCAGAAAAAAGCAAACAAACCAACCAACCAACAAAACCATCTGTGTGAGCATGGGAAACTAATCAACAATGTATAGTGAACGTTTTTGGTTTGAATTTCAAGGCACCTGGTGCATAAGCACAGTTGAAGGAGTCATGCCCGGGACAGTGTTAGCCTCAATAACAATCACCTGCTCAAATCATTCACAAAAGAGAGGACGCGTGCTCAGGTATCGTGAAGGAACGGAAAAAACACTACTTAGCAAGAAAATGCAGAAGCGTGGACAGAATGTGTACAGTTTCCTCCAATAAAATTACCTCGCCGGTGTCTGCATGCATGAAGGCATCAATGCGGGCGAAACCGTCGATGTTGAGAGCACTGGCCACCATCTCAATGCGCCTCCGCCCCGCCTCCTGGGCACTTGCACTGGCAGGGGAGGTGGAAAGAGGCAAGCAAGAACGAACAGACAGATGCTTGCTTGCTAGGCCAGCAAAGGTGACACCGTCGATGTTGAGAGCACTGGCCACCATCTCAATGCACCTCCGCCCCGCCTCCTGCGCACTTGCACTGGCAGGGGGGGTAGAAAGAGGCAAGCAAGAACACACGGACAGATGCTTGCTGCCTAGGCCAGCAAAGGTGAAACCATCGATGTTGAGAGCATTGGCCACCATCTCAATGCGCCTCCACCCTTCCTCCTGGCCGCTTGCACTGGCAGGGGTGGCAGAGAGAGGCAAGGAAAGACACAAAATGAATGTATTCTAAGCAACCGTGAGCGAAGCCGTCAATACTGGCCGTTTCACGTTCTGACAAGCTCGCGTGAATTCGATCGGCTTCTTGGGCACATGCACAGCCAGGCAAACTCGAATCTCAAGTTAGAGCATAATTGAAGGTTAGAAAAAAAAAGTAGCTTTCAGATCAGAGCATAATAAAAAGTTTGGTAAAAAACAAAAAACAAACAAACAAACAACAACAACGTGTTGAGGAATGAGGTGGTGGCACAATGGTGCAGCAGAAGAGAGAGGGTGCGCGTGTGCAGGGAAGAGTTTTGAGACGTCTCAAAACTCAGTGTGTGAAGGGAAGAAGGTGATACCTGATGATGGACGTTGGAGGGGGAGTGAGATTGATGCCAGTGCCACCTGGGATTAGGACAGTGCATGGATGGAAGGGGTGACAGGTAAGGAGGGATTGAAAATTAGTTTGAAAAAAAAAAAAGCACCTTAGTGATCCAAAACTTCACAAACAACAACAACAGTGTTAGAAACAGAAGCATCCAAAACTTCACAAACAACAACAGTGTTAGAAACAAAAAACAACTTCACCCATGCTGAATCCTGCTAATACACCACCTGCTGAAGCCACAACCTACAGTCACATCTTTACATTCACAACTCTATCCAGTCACATCTTTACATTCACGACTTTACAGTCACATTTACTCACCTTGGAACTTCTCCTCCAGAGTGAGCACGTCTCCAGCCTCCTTTACAGTCACACTCGGAGCCAGGGCCCTCATCCTTCCCCGGTGTCCCACCACCCCTACAGTCACCTCCACCCACCGCCGCCTCCCTTCCCACACGAGCCCCTCGTTATTGTCACACGTGCCCTCCTCTTCCTTCTCCTGCTGCTGCTGCTGTGCGGTTGGTAGCGGTCGAATGGGGTCTGTTTCGATGAAGGGCTCGAAGAGCAGATGGGTCGGGGGGCGAACAGGCATCTCCACTATCCCACACAACTGAGAGGAAGGGTGGGGGGACGTAGGATATACAAGATAAGGGTGGGGGACAGGGGGAGGGAAGGAAGGTTGGGGACTGGGTATGTTGAAGGGTTCGAAGAGTAAATGGGTTGAGGGGCGAACAGGCATCTCCACTATCCCACATAGCTGGAGGGTGGGAGAGGGTGGGGAAAAAAGAAGTGTTAGAGAATGGAGGAAGTCTAAAGGAGCAGTAAAAGGGGAATGGGGTCTGTTTCGATGAAAGGCTCGAAGAGCAGATGGGTTGGGGGTGGAACAGGCATCTTCACTCACTCGCTCACTCACCATGGAAATGGGTAGCAGGTGAGGAGCCGCGTCCCTGACTGCTCACTCACTCACTCACTCACCCACTCACTTACTCATGCACACATCCACCCAAACACAAGCACAAGCACATACTCAACTCACCGTGGATAGCTGGCCTGGCAGCAGGCAGGGAGCCGCATCCCTGATTGCTCACTCACTCACTCACTCATTCATTTGTGCACCCACATACACTCACGTGCACCCACTCACCCACCCACTCACTGTGGACAGCTGGCCTGGCAGCAGGCGAGGAGCCGCATCCCTGACTGCTGCGACGTACACTGCTAGGTCGGATGGGTTGCTGGGATGGAGCGCAAGCAAACAGACAGGAAAGGGGATGCAAGAAGGGAGAATGAGAGGGAAGGGGATATGGGGAAGAGATGGGTGGGTGAAAGGCTGGCGAATCCTTGTCCCACTCGCTTGAGTTCAGTGAAATAGGCGATGGTAGGAGAGGGTGAGAGAGGGAAACCTAGGTGCGAAGAGCACTCATCCATCAACCCTCTGTACCGAACTCAACCGCGCCGACAGTACAACTGGTTGCAAGCGGACTTTGAATGATCAAAATACGCCTGCACCACCAGACTGACTGGCACCGCTCTGCACCCACCCAAACTCCATCCCACCCCCCCGCATCACTCTGCACGGCACCGTACCGCACAGGAACACACTGCACTCACGCAAGTCGGGCGACGCCAGCAGAGCACCCGTCTGTGGCCGGCTTCACACAGAACGAGTCAGCCTGGAGCTCGCCAATCAGACGCTGCCACGTGGCATCGGCAGAACCAGCGCCAGCAGCAGCAGTAGCACAGGGCAGCAATTGGTCAAGGGAAAGGAGCAGCTTTCGAGCCGAGAATACACCATCCGAGGTCAGCTGAAGGCAAGGAAGGGAAGAGAGCAAGTAGAAAGGAAAGTGAAAAATCGAGAACGAAGGAAAGAAAGGGAGAAGAAAGAATAATCTCTTGCACAAAAGAACTATGACTCAAGAGTCGCATTGTTGCACCCATAGACACCCATTCACACCCACCGCGAGAGGACTCACATGAGCGATTGCCTGGCCTGTGGCGACCTTGTCCATGCACAGCTGAGAGCCTTCAGAAGCCAGATCCATGCCACCACCCTCACATCCGCCCTGTTATTGCAGGTTGTTTTTGAGAATTCCCAAAAACAACTTACCCACCCACCCACTCACTCGCCCAACCACTCACCCACCCATCTGAACGCTCATGACTCACATGAGCAATGGTCTGACCCATAGCGGCCTCATCCATACACAGCTGAGCTGAGACGCTTCAGACCCAAACAAGCATATGCAGACACCCACCCTCGCATCCGTCCACCCACGCACGCATCCGTGCACTCACCCTCGCCTCGCCACTCACATGAGCTATGGCCTAGCTCGTCACGACCTTGTCCATACACAGGTAAGAGGCTTAGGACCCCAACAAGCACATGCAGGCCCCCACGCACGCATCCGTGCACTCACCCTCGCCTCGCCACTCACATGAGCTATGGCCTAGCTCGTCACGACCTTGTCCATACACAGGTAAGAGGCTTAGGACCCCAACAAGCACATGCAGGCACCCACGCACGCATCCACGCACCTCACCCTTGCCTTGCCACTCACATGAGCGATGGCCTGGCCAGTGGCGACCTTGTCCATACACAGCTGAGACGCTTCAGACACAATCAAGCACACATACAGGCACCCACGCACTCATCCACTTACACACCCACATATGCTCACCCCCGATACTCACATGCGCAATCGCCTGGCCTGTGGCGACCTTGTCCATACACAGCTGAGACGCTTCAGACGCAATCAAGCACACATACAGGCACCGACGCACTCATCCACTTACACACCCACATATGCTCACCCCCGATACTCACATGCGCAATCGCCTGGCCTGTGGCGACCTTGTCCATACACAGCTGAGACGCTTCATACGCAATCAAGCACACATACAGGCACCCACGCACTCATCCACTTACACACCCACATATGCGCACCCACGATACTCACATGCGCAATCGCCTGGCCAGTGGCGACCTTGTCCATACACAGCTGAGACGCTTCAGACGCAATCAAGCACACATACAGGCACCCACGCACTCATCCACTTACACACCCACATATGCGCACCCACGATACTCACATGCGCAATTGCCTGGCCTGTGGCGACCTTGTCCATACACAGCTGAGACGCTTCAGACGCAATCAAGCACACATACAGGCACCCACGCACTCATCCACTTACACACCCACATATGCTCACCCCCGATACTCACATGCGCAATCGCCTGGCCTGTGGCGACCTTGTCCAGACACAGCTGAGAGTCTTTAGATGCAAACAAGTTACCCTTCCTCCCTCACAAGTATGATATGATGCACCCACCCCCTCCACTCACATGCGCAATCGCCTGGCCTGTGGCGACCTTGTCCATACACAGCTGAGACGCTTCAGACCCGGAACCTGCAGAAAAAAAGACACAGTTAATTGCATGCTAGAACAAGAGACATCTCACAGGGAGTATATATATCCAACGCAAGGAGGGGGCTTGTCTTTTGCCAACTAGAAACATTCACAGGGATTTACCCTGTGTAAGAGGTTAGACTAATGAGTCAACTCATATAACAGGAGCTTATCAAGTTATTCCTGCTCACAGGAACAGGAAACCAGTGAATGGGTACTTACCAGTGAATGGGTACTTACCAGTGAATGGCTACTTACCAGTGAATGGCTACTTACCAGTGAATGGCTACTTACCAGTGAGTGACACTCCCTCATGCTCCCTTGATCCAACAAGTGCACGACTTTTCTGACTTCTCCTCAGGGGTCATTTCCTCACCGGTGAAGGGCATTCCCTCGTGCTCCAGCAAGTGCTGTAGCGTGCTGTCCTCCCCTATGCCTTCTCGTCTTTGAGTCGACTCACGAGTCAAAGGTTAGACTGTGCTCTGTGAGAGAAAACTGAGACGCCTCACCAGTGAAGGGCATTCCCTCGTGCTCCAGCAAGTGCTGCAATGTGCCGTCCTCCCCTATGCCTTCTGGTCTTTGAGTCGACTCACGAGTCAAAGGTTAGACTGTGCTCTGTGAGAGAAAACTGAGACGCCTCACCAGTGAAGGGCATTCCCTCGTGCTCCAGCAAGTGCTGCAATGTGCCGTCCTCCCCTATGCCTTCTGGTCTTTGAGTCGACTCACGAGTCAAAGGTTAGACTGTGCTCTGTGAGAGAAAACTGAGACGCCTCACCAGTGAAGGGCATTCCCTCGTGCTCCAGCAAGTGCTGCAATGTGCCGTCCTCGCCTATGCCCCCGTGCACTGGGGGGAGGGTTTGGAGGGGACGGGGGAAACGAGGGAAGGGAGAGTGGGAAGATGGAGGGCATTCCCTCGTGCTCCAACAAGTGCTGCAGTGTGCTGTCCTCGCCTATGCCCCCGTGCACTGGGGGGAGGGTTTGGTTGGAGGGGACGGGGGAAACGAGGGAAGGGAGAGTGGGAAGATGAAGGGCATTCCCTCGTGCTCCAACAAGTGCTGCAGTGTGCTGTCCTCGCCTATGCCCCCGTGCACTGGGGGGAGGGTTTGGAGGGGACGGGGGAAACGAGGGAAGGGAGAGTGGGAAGATGAAGGCCATTCCCTCGTGCTCCAACAAGTGCTGCAGTGTGCTGTCCTCCTCGCCTATGCCCCCGTGCACTGGGGGGAGGGTTTGGAGGGGACGGGGGAAACGAGGGAAGGGAGAGTGGGAAGATGAAGGGCATTCCCTCGTGCTCCAACAAGTGCTGCAGTGTGCTGTCCTCCTCGCCTATGCCCCCGTGCACTGGGGGGAGGGTTTGGAGGGGACGGGGGAAACGAGGGAAGGGAGAGTGGGAAGATGAAGGGCATTCCCTCGTGCTCCAACAAGTGCTGCAGTGTGCTGTCCTCGCCTATGCCCCCGTGCACTGGGGGGAGGGTTTGGAGGGGACGGGGGAAACGAGGGAAGGGAGAGTGGGAAGATGAAGGGCATTCCCTCGTGCTCCAACAAGTGCTGCAGTGTGCTGTCCTCGCCTATGCCCCCGTGCACTGGGGGGAGGGTTTGGAGGGGACGGGGGAAACGAGGGAAGGGAGAATGGGAAGATGAAGGGCATTCCCTCGTGCTCCAACAAGTGCTGCAGTGTGCTGTCCTCGCCTATGCCCCCGTGCACTGGGGGGAGGGTTTGGAGGGGACGGGGGAAACAAGGGAAGGGAGAGTGGGAAGATGAAGGGCATTCCCTCGTGCTCCAACAAGTGCTGCAATGAGCCGTCCTCCCCTATGCCCCCGTGCACTGGGGGGAGGGTTTGGAGGGGACGGGGGAAACGAGGGAAGGGAGAGTGGGAAGGTGAAGGGCATTCCCTCGTGCTCCAACAAGTGCTGCAGTGTGCTGTCCTCGCCTATGCCTCCATGCACTGGAGGAGGGTTTAGGGGGGAGGGGGAAAAAAGGGGGGGGGGAAGTGAAATGAAGGGCATTCCCTCATGCTCCAATAAGGGGCGGGGGGAGGGGGGAAAAAGGGGGGGGAAGCGGGGTGCTGCAGTGTGCTGTCCTCGCCTATGCCTCCGTGCACTGAGGGAAGGGGTTGACGAGGAAAGAGGTAACAGAGGGGAGAAGAGAGGGAAGAGCAAAAACGGAGAGACAAGACATGACTGCAGTGCACGGAGGCATAGGCGAGCAAAGGGGTTGACGAGGAAAGAGGTAACAGAGGGGAGAAGACAGGGAAGAGCAAAAACGGAGAGACAAGACATGACTGCAGGAAAACACTGCTGAGCCCTTCTAACTATGAGCTTAGACATGACTGCAGGAAAACAGGGCGGGACCAGAGGTATAGGTCAGGAATGCCGAGAGAGGCGGCAGAGGGTTGACTTTTGCATGGACTCAAAAGTCAACAATACATGACTGCAGGAAAACAGGGCGGGACCAGAGCCTGAGAGCGGTATAGGTCATCCTTGGTCACCAGTGGTATAGGTAAGGAGTGCCGAGAGAGGAGGCAGAGGTGACAGGGAACAGGAGGGGGGGGGGGGTGGCAATGAAGACAACTGTGCCACGTGATTTTGCAGGGACCAAGAGAGGAAGGGGAGGAGAGGGGGGAGGACGAGAGGGGGGAGGGCCGACGGAACAGGGGAGTGGAGCAGGGGGGGGCAGCACAAGAGCAGTGCGTAGCTGATGAAGACAACTGCGCCTTGAGACGTCTCAAAACACAACTTTTATCATGTGGCTATTCCTTTTCTGGTACCTGCGATGAAGACAACTGCGCCTTGCGCCTTTGCAGCAGCAACCCAATCACGGAGCGACATCTGTCTCGGCGGCACACGCACATCCACATCCCCAAAGCGACCACCACCGCCAGCAGCAACACCATCAGCACCACCAGGTGAAGAGGGTTTATCCGCATCAGCAGCACCGCTCCCCACGAGTTCCTGTTCAATAGAGTGTTGGAGAGCAGACAGGAGAGAGTGTGCGGGAGAGGAGGAGGCAGAAGTGCTGCTGCTACCTGTTTCCGCTGTTGCATCTGCAGCTGCTGTTGCTGCTGCTTCTGCTTCTGTTTCAGCTTCTTTCAGTCGAGCTGCTTCTCTTGATGCTTCGATACAAGCCGCCTCGACTTCCTCTACTGTGTGTCTCAGGATTGCAGGGTACCTGTTCAAGCACCACAGAGCCGGTAAAAGCAAGAACAGTAAACAAGTGGGTTGAGTTGGAGGTACGGGGAGAAGAAACTCGATACAAGCCGCCTCGACTTCCTCTACTGTGTGTCTCAGGATTGCAGGGTACCTGTATTGTGTGGACGAGGAACCAGTGCAAGAAACAACGTTACACAAGGGGGCAAAGATCCTCGATACAAGCCGCCTCGACTTCCTCTACTGTGTGTCTCAGGATTGCAGGGTACCTGTATTGTGTGGACGAGGAACCAGTGCAAGAAACAACGTTACACAAGGGGGCAAAGATCCTCGATACAAGCCGCCTCGACTTTCTCTACAGTGTGGCGCAGGATTGCGGGGTACCTGTGTGGACAGGTAACCAGTGCAATGCAAGCAACAGCAGACGAGGGGTTTTTGATTCGGAGTGCACTGCAGTGCCAAAGAGTGCTTACGGGAGCAACCAGACAGTGTCAACTTCTGCCGCCCATGCCGCTCGCTAACGCAATGACAGAGACACAGGGCTCGAGCCGTTGCTTGAGCTGCTTTTCTTAGCAGAATCTTACAGTGCAGTGCCAACGAGTAGAATCTTACAGTGCAGTGCCAGAGCAGATGCTTAGAGTGCAGTGCCACAGCAACGAGACAATGCTTACAGGAGGGACCAGACAGTGTCACTTTCAGCGGCCCACGCTGCTCACTCAATGACAGAGACCCAGGGCTTACGTTACCGTGCAGTGCAACAGCGGATGCTCACAGCGCAGTGCCAAAGCAGATGCTTACGGGAGGGACCAGAGCAGATGCTTACAGGAGGGACCAGAGCAGATGCTTACGGGAGGGACCACAGCAGATGCTTACAGGAGGGACCAGACAGTGTGGCTTTCAGCTGCCCACGCTGCTGCTCGTTCGCTCAACGACAGAGACCCCTGGCTCGAGCCGTTGCTTGAGCTGCTTTTCTTAGCAGGGCCAACGAGTAGAATCTTACAGTGCTGACTTTTGAGTCGACTCAAATGCCAGAGCAGATGCTTACGGGAGGGACCCGACAGTGTCGACCTCTGCCGCCCACGCCGCTCGTTCTTTGAGACGCCTCAAAAGGCGCCTCACGAGAAACAATGCTTACGGGAGGGACCAGACAGTGTCAACTTCAGCGGCCCACGCCGCTCGTTCGCTCAACGAGAGAGACCCAGGGTTCGAGCCGTTGCCTGAGCTGTCGCTGCTGGTGCTTCCAGCAGTGTTGCTGCTGCTGTCGTGAGACGGAGACAGGAGGAACGGTTGCACGTCAAACTGTGGGAGAGGGAGAAGAGATAGGTGATGAGGAGAAGGGATGGAAGGAGGGGGGAAAGCTTCAGAAGTATTCTCCCAGAGATGTCACCGCTGTTGCTGCTTGTCCTGGCAGTGTTGCTGCTGCTGTCGTGCGACGGAGACAGGAGAAACGGTTGCACGTCAAACTGTGGGAGAGGGGGGAGAGAAAGGAGATGGGAAGTGGGGACGGAGAGAGCGGGGAGAGCGGGGAGAGTAGCTTCAGAAATATTCTCCCAGCGCTGTCACTGCTACTGCTGCTACTGCTGCTGCTGTTGCTGCTGTTCCCAGCTGAGTTGCTGCTGCGGTTGTGAGACGGAGAAGGATGGCTGCACCTCAGACTGTGGGAGAGGGAGGGAGGGAAAGGAAATGGGAAGACAGCTTTATTTTTTTTTCTTCCAGCCGTGTTGCTGTTGCTGCCGTGAGAGAGACAGGAGAGTGGGGTTGACGTTTACCCATGGAACCCCATTGTGCCATGAGAGAGCCATGAGAGAGCCATGAGAGAGACAGGAGGAACGTTTACCCATGGAACCGCAGGCGAGGAGATGGGGACGGAGAAGGGGGAGCACAGGTCATGAGAGAGGGGAAACGCGAGGGGCTATAGGAGAGGGCGGGGGCAACAGCACAACACAGCACAGCAAACACATTTACACACCTGCGGGCAGGCTCTCAGCTTGAGCCACACGTTGGTGCCGCTGCTGAGAGATGCCTGGCACCAAGCAGTGCTCACTCACAGCAAGGATTTGAGGGCATGGGCTATGGTCTATGGGACACACATACACACACACACCCACACACACCTGCGGGCACACACACACGCACACACACACACACACACACACACCTGTGGGCACACACACACACGCACACGCACACACACACACATGCACGCACACACACATGCACACACACACACACACACACATACCTGCGGGCACACACACACGCACACACACACACACACACACACACGCACGCACGCACACACACATGCACACACACACACACACACACACACACACACACACACACACACACACACCTGCAGGCACGCCCTGAGCTTGAGCCACACGTTGGTTCCGCTGATGAGAGACACCTGGCGCTCTGAGACACTGGCTATGGTACAGCACACACAGACACACACACAGACACACACACAAACACACACACACACACACAAACACACACAAACACACACACACACACACCTGCGGGCATGCCCTGAGCTTGAGCCACACATTAGTTCCGCTGATAAGAGACACCTGGCGCTCTGCTGTGCTGCCCCCAAATAACACCCACACCAGCTGCCGCCTCCCTGCCGTTTCACCTGCCTCGCCTCCACCTCCCTCCTCTCGCACTCCCTCGATGCCAGGAGAAGCCGGAGCGGGGTGGAGAGGGAGGGGAAGGCCGTATATGGAGCAGGCAGACGCGAGGATCCAGCGAAGGATCAACGAGTGAGACAGCCCCACCTGTGGGCAGTGGGAGGTTGAGAGTAGAGAGGAAGGGTGTAATTTGAGTTGACTCAAGGGACATGGGGGCAGGCTAACAATAGTGACATCCACAGACACTGTACTCAATTAGGGATGAGCAAGGTGGCGAACACCTGTTCGGTTCGCCTCGAATCAGCTTAAATCGTTCGCCCGAACGTGTTCGATGTTCGCCCGAACACGTTCGTGTTCGTGGCGCTGCTGCAGAACGCCCCGTGGCGAACACGAACGTGTTCGAGGTTCGCCCGAACACGCCTCCACAGGCGAACAGCGAACACCTGTTTTTTCCTAAACTGTTCGCCGAACCGGACAGTGTTCGGTTCGGCAAAAGAGGGTGTTCGACAAGGGGCAAAGACGAACATGTTCGTGTTCGCCCTTTGCTCATCCCTATACTCAATATTAGCATACAACTTCTAACATGAATAAGTGAGGAAGGTAGAACACTCACCAACGCAGCCTGCTGGAAGAGAAACGAGGTCTGCTTCATGCCGCTAATGATATTCACATCCAGAGATATTGTACAAGTTATTAGCATACAATTACTAGCAATACACAGTGGGGAAGAGGGAAGGCGCACCAACGCAGCCTGCTGGAAAAGAAACGACGTCTGCTCTATGCCGCTAACGATATTCACGTCCGAAAACACCACAATGGTAATGGTAATGGTAACGGTAAACGGTAACGGTAACAGTAGTGGTAGTGGTAGTGGTAGTGGTAACGGTAATGGTAATGGTAGTAGTAATTGTTATGTTAATGATAATGGTAATGATAGTAGTGGTAATGTTAATGGTAATAGTAATGGTAGTAGTACTGGTAATGTTATGGTAATGGTAATGGTAATGATAATGGTAATAGTAGTGGTAACGGTAATGTTAATGGTAATGGTAATAATAGTAGTGGTAATGTTATTGGTAATGGTAATGGTAATGGTAATGGTAATGGTAATAGTAATAGTAATGATAATGGTAATATTAATAGTAATGGTAATGGTAATGATAATGGTAACGGTAATGGTAATGGTAGTAGTAATGGTAATCTTAATGGTAATGGTAATGGTAATGTTAATGGTAATGGTAGTGGTAATGGTAGTAGTAATGTTGATGGTATTGGCATTGGTAATAATTATGGTAATGGTAATGTTGATGGTAATGGTAATGGTCATGGTAATGGTAATGCAATGATGATGGTTATGGTAATAGTAATGTTAATGGTAATGGTAATGCTAATGGTAGCGGGCGTCAAAATCATAAGGGCCACCATAATTGGACCACTCACCAAAGCAGCCTGCTGGAAGAGGAAAGACGTCTGCTCCATGCCGCTAACAATATTGACATCCGAGAACACCACAATCCCCTCCTTATACTCCTCCTCCCACTCCTCCCCCTGCTGGTTGTCCTCGTTATTAGCTGCCTCGTTATCCTCCTTGTTTCCACCTCGTGAATTGTCGGTGCTAGCTCTTAGCCCCGCCAGCACGCGGGCGTAAGCTGGGGAGGAAGGAGGGAGGAACCATCCGTCGAGGCGGGCGCAGTCTCGGAGGGAGAGTGAGGAAAAGAGGCGAGTGGCTGAGGCGCGGAGGGAGGAGAGGATGCATGGGGGGAAGCGGGGCGGCGTGGAGTAGAGAACCTGTTGTGGGGGGAAGTGAGGGGGAGAGGGGGGGTTGGTGGGAGGGGGGTAACAGACAGGCAGAATTGGGTAGGTACCAGGGATTACGGGGACGAGCGTGGGGAAAGACGGGAAGACAAAAATGAACGAGAGTCAAAGGGGGAACGTAGGAGGTGAGGCGGTCAAAGGGGCAACTCGAACCTTACCTGCTGAGTGGGAAGGTACTTCCGTCTATAGTCGAAGATATCCCCACTGCTATCACTGTCAGAATCAGCGCCTTCAGTTGCTGCTGCTGCTGCTGCTGATGTGGTGGCAGGAGAAGCAGCAAAGCCTGTCAACTCCACCTGACGTGGTGGGGCGTGGCAAGACACGGGAAGGTGAGAGAAGTTGCAGGTAATCTAGAGAGCAAGCTGCTTTCTATGGTCGAGTCGAAGATATCCCCAATGCTGTCACTGTCGGAATCAGCGCCTTCAGGTGATGCTGCTGCTGCCGTGGCAAGAGCAGCAGCAGAGCCTGTCAACTCCACCCGGTGTGGGGCATGGCAAGACAAGAGAGGAAGGTGAGATAAGATAGTCTAGTCAAAGATAACAACACAGCTGTCACCGCCAGCATCAGGGCCTTCTGGCGTGACAGGAGCAACCCCTAAAACACTGCAAGAGTCGGGCCTGGAGCACCCCCTGATGCACTGCAATCAAGACAAACCTGCATGGCGGTCAAAACCTGCACACAGCGTGGCAGGTGCTGCCGCAGCTTTTGAGAGTTCTCAAAAGTCACTGGAATACCGCAGCTGCTTGCGCCAGGCGCATATGTTTCACCCGCAGCCCCAGCAACAGCTTTTGAGGCGCCTCAAAAGGCGCATATGTTTCACCCGCAGCCCCAGCAACAGCTTTTGAGGCGCCTCAAAAGGCGCATATGTTTCACCCGCAGCCCCAGCAACAGCTTTTGAGGCGCCTCAAAAGGCGCATATGTTTCACCCGCAGCCCCAGCAACAGCTTTTGAGGCGCCTCAAAAGGCGCATATGTTTCACCCGCAGCCCCAGAAACAGCTTTTGAGGCGCCTCAAAAGGCGCATATGTTTCACCCGCAGCCCCAGCAACAGCTACTGCTGATGCCTCCAACACAATTGCAGGGAACCCCTTGCCTCCTGGTGACTTTTGAGTCGACTCAAAAGTCAATTGCAGTGAACCCCTTGCCTCCTGATGCCCTGCAATGCACTCTAAGCTAAGCACTCACCTGCGTGGGAATGAGGCACACTGCACCACGGGTGCCGTTCCCAGCTGCTTCTGCTACTGATGACTCCAGCACAATGGCGGTAAACTCCTTGCCTCCTGCTGCAAACACCTCCACCACCACTCGATCGTCCACACCCTGAGGTGGGTAGGGGCAAACAGGAGAGGAAGCAGGGGAGTGGAGGGAGAGTAGGGGATGGTGCTTCCAACACGATGGCGGTGAACTCCTTGCCTCCTGCTGCAAACACCTCCACCACCACCCGCTCGTCTACTCCCTGGGGGGACGGAGGGGAGACGGGAAGGGGGACAGACAGGATGGGGGCAGGGGGCAAGGGTAGAGTGCAGCAGAATGGCTGTGACCTCCTTGCCTCCTGCTGCAAACAGCTCCACCACCACCCTATCGTCCACATTCTGGGGAGCGTGGTGACAAGGGCATGGGTCAAGCGGCAGGGGGACAGTGGCATGGTGTTGAGAGCAGCAGAATGGCTGTGACCTCCTTGCCTCCTGCTGCAAACACCTCCACCACCACCCTATCGTCCACACCCTAGAAGGGGTAGGGGGAGCGGAGAGAGGGAGAGGAAGCATGGGGACAAGCGGTATGGGGTTAAGTGCAGCACAATGGGTGACCTCCTTGCTCCCTGTTGCAAATACCTCCACCACCACCCGATCGTCCACTCCCTGGGATGGGTACGGGCGGACACGGGGCAGAGGAGAGGAAGCAGGGGAGAGGAGGGAGAGGAAGGGATGGTGCTTCCAACACAATGGCGGTGAACTCCTTGCCCCCTGCTGCAAACACTTCCACCACCACCCGATCGTCCACACACTGGAATGGGGAGGGCAGGGGCAGACAGGGGGCAGGTGGCAGGGGAGAGGAAGCATGGGGAACAGGGGCAAGGGTTGAGTGCGGCGAAATCGCGGTGAACTCCTTGCCCCCTGCTGCGAACACTTCCACCACCACCCTATCGTCCACACACTGTGATGGGTAGGGGCACACAGGGGGGCAATGGAGAGGAAGCAGGGGAGAGGAGGGAGAGTAGGGGATGGTGCTTCCAACACGATGGCAGTAAACTCCTTGCCCCCTGCTGCAAACACCTCCACCACCACCCTATCGTCCACACCCTAGAAGGGGGTAGGGGCACACAGGGGGGCAATGGAGAGGAAGCAGGAGGCAGGAGTTAGGGGAGAGGAGAGAGGGGCGGGGGGGAGAAAAACGAGCCTAGATAGTTTAGCTTGAAAGAGGGAGAATATCCTAAGCAAACGACAACGAAAGAACGGAAACAATAAATTACAAGGAGTGGGACGAACCAACAAACCTCGGATATCAGCTCGCGAGCCTTCTGGGAAGTTTCCTTCGCACCGGAACACACAGAGACACCGACACTCGACCCGGCTCGAGCTGGCTTCACCTGCAAAGCAAAGCAGCCCAGAATCACACCAGTAGAACTTAGGTAAGTACGCACTTAGCAATGGTAGAGTACGGTGCAGCAGGAAAGCAAGGAGATATGGACTGAAGAGAGAGAGACTCACCACAACAGAGCCGGTGGCTGGTGAGAGTCCGTTGGAGGTGAACCAATCAGCAAGCGCCACGTCACCATCGTTGCCATCTACCCCAGCCTGAATCCACACAAAGCCATACTTTCATGTACACGGTTATTTCAAGCATGGTTTTCTTTCTAAACTGCCCTTTTGAAGAAAAAATGTGAGAAAGGAAGCCTGAAAAAATGGGTTTCCAGACCCGTCAGAACATGATTAAGAGCAAGTACTTACCTAAAGACTGGCTCTCAGTTAAGTTGCATACCTGGATGAGAAAGGAGGGGAGGGTGGGAAAGCCGCAATGCTTCATGTGCTGTGCACACGCATACTGCAGGAAACACCGGGGAAAGGAGACGAGGGGGGATTTGAGATGCCTTAGATAAAACACGCATACTGCAGGAAGCACCGGGGAAAGGAGACGAGGGGGGATTTGAGATGCCTTAGATAAAACACGCATACTGCAGGAAACACCGGGGAAAGGAGACGAGGGGGGATTTGAGATGCCTTAGATAAAACACGCATACTGCCAGAGACAGGGGGGGGGGGGGGGGGGGGGGGGGGGGGGTAAGGAAGGAGGAGGTAGGGAGGGTAAAAATGAACTCGCATCTTTGAAAAGAAAATCGAAGGTGAGGCGAGAGAGAAGCAAGGTGCAGTGCAAGACAAAACCAGTCTGTTGGTTACATCTGGGCTGGCGGGCTGGCAGGCTGCGGTTATAGGACCTTGTGAGATTCGAACCTGAGACCTTTGGTTTCCGGTGTAATTATCACCTTGTCAAACAAGTTCCCTACTCAGTCGCCTGCCCGCCCGCCCTCCCACCTTGTCAAATGCATTGCGTGCAGCAGCAGAGGAAGTGCCGACAAAGGGAATGCCGTGTTGCTCCAGCAGTGCCTGGCAGGGGGGAGGAGGGGAGAAGGGGGGTTGGGGGGACGAAGGGGAGCGGAAGGTGTGGGGGTTAGCAGACTCAAAACTCAGCAGCAGCAGAGGAAGTGCCGACAAAGGGAAGGTTATATTTCTCCAGCAGTGCCTGGCAGGGGGGAGGAGGGGAGGAGGGGGGAGGTGAAAGGGTTGGGAGGAGGGTAATTGAGTCAGCTCAAAAGTCAGTGCCGAGCGGCAGCAGCAGAGGAGGTGCCGACAAAGGGAATGTTGTGCTGCTCCAACAGTGCCTGGCAGGGGTTGAAGGGAAGGAGGGATAACGGGGGGGGGAGAGGGAGGGTTGGGGGTTAGTTGACTCAAAACTCAGCAGCAGCAGCAGCAGCAGCAGCAGCAGCAGCAGCGGAGGAAGTGCCAACAAATGGAACGCCATGTTGCTTCAACAGCACTTTTATGCTGTAGTTGTGGTGGTCTGACATTGAATGGCAGAGGGGCAAGCGAGCGCACCTGTATGCCCCCATCCTCGCCAAATTTCCCATGGATGACTGGAAACACAATGTCAACTGCTTCTGACAGATGTGCCGCGAATGCAGGCAGGGAGGGGAAGGGTGGCGCCATGCTGCATGGGGGAGAGGGGAGGGAGCGAGGTGAGGGGAGGGAGCGAGGTGAGGGGAGGGAGCGAGGTGAGGGGAGGGGGGAAATGGCAGGTGTATGCAACAGGGATGACCGGAAACACAATGTCAACCGCGTCTGACAGGTGTGCTGCGAAAGCAGGCAGGGAGGGAACTGGCGATGCCATGCTGCCAGCAGGGGAGGAGGGGAGTGAGGGGAGGGGAGGGAGGAAGAGGACGGGAGGGAACTGGGCTTCTACAAAGAAAGAAAGGCGGCCATGAAACGTTCAGGTCAGTACCTGCGGAGCTTAAAGTCGAAATCGGCAGGCGTGTTGGAATACATCTGAGGGGGAGCAGCGGAAGGGAGGAGTGGGGTAAAGTGGGGGTGGGGAGAGAAGAGGATGCGGAATGAGGCGTTTATAGGAGAATTTGACATGCGTGTTGGAATACGTCAGGGAGGTGTGACGAGAACAACGGGGGAGGTGTGACGAGAACAACGGGGGAGGTGTGACGAGAGCAACGGGGGAGGTGTGACGAGAGCAACGGGGGAGGTGTGACGAGAACAACGGGGGAGGTGTGACGAGAGCAACGGGGGAGGTGTGACGAGAACAACGGGGGAGGTGTGACGAGAGCAACGGGGGAGGTGTGACGAGAGCAACGGGGGAGGTGTGACGAGAGCAACGGGGGAGGTGTGACGAGAGCAATGGGGGAGGAACCAACGGGGAAGGGAACGGGGGGGAGGGAAGGGGATGGAGCGTATAAAGTCAACATCGAATTCGGCAGGCGGGTTCGAATACATCTGAGGGAGGTGTGACAATAGCAATGGCGAGAGACGAAAAGGGAGAGAAAGAAGGGAATCGGGCGCTTAGAGATCAACGTCGAATTCGGCAGGCGGGTTGGAATACATCTGAGGGGGAAACGAAGGGGGCCACAGCAAGGGGACAGCAACAGGGTGAGGGCGACGGGAAAGGGAGGGGATGATAACAGCGCCCCCCCTTGACCTCAACCCTGACCAGGGCCCCCCCTTGACCTCAACCCTGCTTTCCGTTCCACACTAACTCCGTTGCTCGCCCCATAGCTGTCAGCTCGCCCCATAGCTGTCAGCTCGCCCCATAGCTGTCAGCTCGCCCCATAGCTGTCAGCTCGCCCCATAGCTGTCAGCTCGCCCCATAGCTGTCAGCTCGCCCTATAGCTGTCAGCTCGCCCTATAGCTGTCAGCTCGCCCCATAGCTGTCAGCTCGCCCCATAGCTGTCAGCTCGCCCCATAGCTGTCAGCTCGCCCTATAGCTGTCAGCTCGCCCTATAGCTGTCAGCTCGCCCCATAGCTGTCAGCTCGCCCCGTTACTATCACTACCTCTCCCTCGGATGCCTTTCAACGCGCCTGCCGATTTCGACTTCCCTTCCAACCGCCCCCCACCCCCTTTTCTTATGCTGCTTCTCCTCGGCCCGCTGTTGTTCACTGTTCCCCTTATAAACCGCCTCTCTTTCAAATGTCAAATTTCATATGTCTTATATTCCAACACGCATGTCAATTTCGAATATAAGTGCCTCATTCCGCATCCTCTTCTCCTCCCCTCCCCACTCCTCCCCTCCCCACTCCTCCCCCCCCCCCCCCCCCCCCCCCCCCCCCCCCCCCCCCCCCCTCCCCCTTCTTCCTTCGCTCCCTACTGCGGTAGTCCAACACAAAAGTCAAACAGTTCGTACCTGGGTGGTCGGAATGGCGAATACTCTTGAGAACGGGTCTACATAGTACGTCTTAATCTCCACGTCGCGCGCTTCCAGGTGGTCCACCACGGAACGCGCCGAGTTCAGCGATATCCCGCGCTCCTCGGACGGCCCTCCGCATATCACGGCGACTCTTAATTTCCCTGCGCTCTCCTCCTCCTTCTCTGCCTCACTCCCCGCCTCTTTCCCCGTCCCTTCCCCCGCCTCCGCTTTCGCGACGCGACAGGACGTTGACCTCGTCCGACTCGCCACGACTCGCTTGGACTTTCTTGACCGCGTTCGCGCCGCGGAAAGTCGCGCGGGTTTCGGGAACCCTCGGAGCGAGCAGTGGACGAGAAGACCCGCCATGTCAGCGGGTCTTACGCCGCGCGGCGCGGGATTGAAAGGCAAACGAAGCGCGCGATAGCCGTTACCAGCCAAACCGGTCGCGAATCTATTCGCGAGATCATTCCCGAACGCATTCGCGACGCCGTTAGCGACAGATCGCATTTGATTAGTGCCGACACATCTAGCCATTGTTAACACCTGCCTCGTAAAAACCTGCCGTAAAAATCCCTTCTTATTAGCCGCCCGCTTGGAAATCCACTTCCTCGAAAATAGGCGGGGATACAAAAGAGCTATCAATCACCAATCTGGATTATGCCGCCCAATAGCGCAACACACACCGAGGTTCTAATGGCGCTCCTCCTGATCCCAGAATCTGCCGAGATCAGGTGGCGCAATTTAGGGCGTGAAAAATTGTAACGCCCAAACCAAATGGTCGATCATATGCTCGTTTCAGGCGAGTGCGAATCTGTAACGCGAAAGCGAACCCCGCCACAAGATTCGTCAGCTTATAGGGCACCCACCCCAAACCCCCCCTAAATGAAAAGCGAAAGTTTTGATTTCCTTTACTGCATTCTAACTGGGTAGTAATCCGGGAATCTGAAGCCTAGACAAGGGCGGGTTTAGGTACACAGAAATATTTTATCCCCGTCAGTCTTGGAATTCCCCGAAATGCGATTCGTTGTAAGGAAAATCCCTTTTCCTTACTTCGCATCCCTGCTCAACGCGTACATCACTGTAGCACCTCAGTCAGCACCGTTACCACCCGCGATCCTCGCATCGACAATCATCCCGCCATTTTCGCACATCGCACCCCGACCTCACGGCTCGGCTGGTAACCCGCGCTCCGGGCCTCCGCTTCGACACTTTCCCAACCTCAGTCCCAGGATCGTCGCACGACAACCACAGTCCATTACCGTTACCACTGTAGTTTCGCTATATATTCTTCGCTCATGCCTTCGCTCATTGTACTCTTGCTTCGATAGTGCAATTCTCGTTCGTTCACTCAATTGCACTCGTAACACTTGGTATCAGAGCCTACGATCTCATCTCGGACCGCATCCACACTTTCGCTTCCCCACTATCTCAATTTTTTGGGGGGGGGGGTAGACGTCTCTCAGCGATACAGCACCGCCGCTCGTAGTGCTCTCTCGTAAGCACGCACGGCCACGACCGAGGCTCTCGCTGAGCTTGCCCGACACCCCCGCCATGGCCGATTTCACGCTCGCCACATTGACGCAGGAGCAGCTTGATCGTCTCGTGCGTCAACTGGAAGATTCAGCGCTCAAAACCGCGACGCTCGCGGCGGAACGTGACTCCGCCCGTCAACAATCCACGGTGAACATTCCGGCGACACCACACGCACCGACAAATGCATTTGCACAATCGGACGAGCCGATCATCATCTCGTCCGGCACACCAACACAACACGACAGCATGGGACAACGCTCAGGCGCAGCCAGTGATGGCGCCGCCCAGCCGATGCCTGGCATGGGGGGAGGCAGGATCGCACCAAGCACGTGGGAGCCCGGGAAGCCCGTCGGCACGTGGAATTTGCGGCAACAAGTGGCGAACAGGCCATTATGGCACCAATGCCGCTCAAGCCGCAATGCCCGCCCTGCTTCCACCCAAGCCAACGCGGAGGTCCGACGGTTCAATCGTGGGTCTTCACGATGAACGTCTTCTTCGACGCAAACTGCGTCGAGTCGGACGCCGCGAAGATCCGGTATGCAGTTTCGCTGCTAAGGGGCCCCGCCATGGACTGGTGGCGAGTCATCGTGACATCGCCACGCGCCTACGAGCCACCGTCGCACGAGGAAGGGCCCACGGGTCCAGCTGTCACATGGAGTTCGTTCTGCGAGACCGCCCAATACAGCACGTGGGATGCGTGTTGCGCAGGGCTACGGGCGCGCTTCGAGCCGATCGCGGCTTCGATTTCGGCGCGTCAGAGATTGCGCACTTGGCGCCAGCTCGGGTCGGTTCAAGATTATACAAGCGGTTTTCTCGCACTTTGCGAACAGGTCGGCTACATGCACGAAGCGGAGCGGGTGGACAGTTACGTCGGAGGGCTAAAGCCGGATATCTCGCACGAAATCATGCTGCGCGGACTCTCTAACTTCAACGAGATTCTCGCGCTCGCCGAGAAAATCGACATTCTACGCCGACCGAGACCGGGGTCCTACTACGGACATCGCCCTCGGGGACCGACCGAGCACGCCACTGTACACGCCGTCGCAACGAATGCAGCTGCCGCACCGTTTAAGGGGCGCTGCTTTGCTTGCAACAGGCCGGGCCATCGCAAGAGCGAATGCCCAGAGGAGCTGAGGCGCCGCGGAGCAGAGCAGGGGAGGGAGTCTCAGAGGCAGGGAAACGCCAGCAGTCAGTAGAAGTTGGGCCAACTACTGACGAGACTGCCTGCTCGCCCAACCGCACCGACCCTCACCGAGTCACAGTACCGATTCACGCCATCGATCGGGCTCGGATGAATAAGGAGGGTACAGCAACGGATTGCCCAGTACTGATCTACGGGAAGATACAGGGAGCAGCAGTGAAGATTTTTATTGACGGAGGAGCAAGTCACAGTTTAGTTAATACCGCGACCGCACGGAAACTGCAGTTAACACTTAACCGCTGCTTACCTGAGATAGACGCACGCTTAGTCGACGGCACGCCACTGGCCATACGGGAAAAGGTGGAGCGAGTAAAAATCCGCTGCGGAGGGAACTTCGGGTTTACACTGGAAATGCTCGCCACGACACTGGATGGGCACGACATTTTATTGGGACGTGATTGGCTGCGACGGTATAACCCGCGAATTGACTGGACGACGGGTAGTTGCACCGTGCGAAGTAGTGGTAACTGGGTCGAACTACCTCGCTGGCGGTCACCCGAGTCTTCAACGGTCCACGTCAACGCCATCACGATGAAACGGGTTGTTGCCGCGGGAGCTGACGTGTACGCAGTGGATATAGCACTAGTAGGAGAAGAGGAGCAGCCGAGCGATTTTCAGAAACTGTTGGCAGCGGTACTGCCCGTACTTCAGGATATGTTGAAACGGTACTCGGGGATTTTTCCAGACGATTTACCGCAAGGACTGCCACCTTAGCGGGCGCATGACCATAGGATCGAGTTCGAACCGGGGGCACAGCCAACTGTACAGCGCCAGTTCAGACTGACACAGCCCGAGCTCGACGAACTAAGGAAGCAGTTAGAGTATTTGTTAGAGAAGCAGATTATCTGACCGAGCTCGTCACCGTTCGCCGCACCGATACTGTTCACACCGAAAAAAGACGGAGGATTTCGCATGTGCATTGATTACCGAGCGCTCAACAGAGTAACAGTCAAATCGCGATACCCCATCCCCCGCGCCGACGAACTGATCGACCA